TGTAGAATCTGTCGTGGTAGACAAAAGTGCACTGGATTAGCCACAGTGGATTAAAAGATTTGCTTCTCAGAGTTTACCCAATAACCTAACAATCGTGTCAACAGCACCTTTGAACCCCCAGGATGCACTTGCTGAGAGCTCAACGCCTCTGTGTGCAGAAGGACCTGGCTGCAGTGCTTATTCATACAATCCCAGCGTATTCTCACACACACAGCTGTGCCCACAAACAAGCCTGAATTCCCAGCTCCCACAGGCTTGGCTACTTCTCACAGAACTTGATAAAGACACCAGATGCTGGTAGAAGGTAGAGGCCCAAGTGAGAGGTCTAGGCCTCACCAGGACCATCTTCCAAAGAGTGTGAGCATCGGGGACCAGGCCTCGCCTGCACCCGGCCCGGCCCCTACTGCATTCACGCATGTCACATGCAGCAGCAAAGACCAGAACAACATGGAGGGTTGCCACGGCAGGCAGGTGATATACCAGGCTCCACTGTGCTGAGGTTCTTGGTCCCTCCGCTGTCACCTCACAGCATGTACTCCTGCCCACATGCACACGTACACACATGTATACGCACGTGTATACACACACACACACACACACACACATGCCCGCCCCCCTTTGATCTCCAAAGGGGACTCCATTGACAAGCTCTTAATCGCAGCTGCCTGTGAGGGGCTGTGCTCTGAAGTCCCGAGTAATGGGATTTGTGCTTCTGATCCATCTGGCTGCCCGCTCCCCCTGTTATAGGTGGACATTTTTTCTTTCTATTGCTTCCTTTTCTTTTTTGCTTTTTTTGCTTCTCGAAAAAAACGCTCCCTAAACCATGCTGACTTGACACTGCTTGTTGCTGAGCCCGGGCAGTGTCCAGGATTTTGAAGGCCGGGACCAGTTGGGGGTCTTTGATGCCGCCTCCATGTGAAATCTGACGTGGGAGACCTACCAGGGCGGTTTTCAGGTCTGTGGCACAGTGGGCTTCATTCTGCCTCGTGCTCTTTCCTTTGTCTCCTCCCCTGACCCGTCCTTGGGACATGAGGGAAGAGGGTCCAGGGTGAGGGTGCAAGTGGGTGTGCATGCGCCAGAGGGTGGGGTGGGCCAAGGGCAGGGCCGCAACCACAAGAACAATGGGCTGCAAGGACCACCTACATCCACCTGTCTGCCTGTCTGTCCATCCATCTGTCCACCCGCCTGGCTTACCTCACCTGCCTGGTTCCATACGCCTGCTCAGGCCCCACCGTCCTGCTGTCCGCCATGATGGGCTTGGCTGTCTGTCCGAGCACTTTCAGCCACTCCAGGAAGCAGGTCCCTGCTCTTGGCCACTGTGTGGCTGGGAGGCAGAAGCGTGACTCTAGGCTGCAGCTCGGGCTCCCGCCGCCGATTGGCTGAGGCAGGGACCAGATGACGGGCCTCGGAACCCTATGGTAGCCATGGCAACCAGCCCCTTTAGACACCGCCACCCCCAAGCCACTCCTGACTGCTGAGGGAGCAGGCGGTGCCGCCAGTGGGCCCATGCCAGGGTTCCCTCAGAGAGGCAATCAGGTGTGGCTGTGTGGTAGCCGCTCCCATACCAGCCATTAAGCATTTTCATGTGTGTGTTTCTCATGCCTGTCTACTGTGATGGGTCTCCGTCCCTCTCATGGTCTGTCCCAGGTCACTCCATGCCCTGCTTGACACTCTGGCTGAGGTAGGAATAGTGACCTTGCAGTCCTTTTGCAGTTCCTGCTGAGAGAAGGACTTCAGGTCAGGCTTGCCCCAGGGGCTGAAGGCCTGGCTCAGTCTGGTGAGAAAATGAGTGAGGGAAGTGGGAGGAAGAGCAGGAAGAACTTCCCACCCCAGGTGGGCAGAGCAAAGCTCTCAACCTACCTCAGGCAGCAAAGAGCCTTCCAGCTTTATCTTCTGCCCACAAACCACTCCACTCCACTCTTACTGGCCACTGCCTGCTGAACACATGGGTATGCTCCCAGGACCCCCTCTCAAGAACTTTTCAAGGTCCTGGGGCATGGCCTGCTCCTTGTGGACCTTGGGTCCCCACTGGCAGGACTCTGGGACATGGTTACTAGATTGGCAGACAGGTTAGGTTGGCTACAAGCCACACACCTGACTTTGAACTTGCCCATCCCTTGACCACAGCGCCCTCTGGTGTACGAAGAACTCTCTGCCCCCAAGGCCCACCAGCATCAGCTTCAGCCAGGCGTTCCCAAATGTTCCAAAGACCAGAGATTTTCAGCAAAGGCATGATGGTCATAATCTCTCCATGGACTGACCATCATGGGCATTTCAGGCCATTGAGTAACCTTGGAGCCACCACTACCCATCTCTGTGACAGCCGGTAACAACCTGACCTGTCCAATCATCCCTGAGAGCAGTACAATTGGTCAGGGGCCCTCTAGCCTTCCGAGCTCAAACTCAGACTACACCTGCTGACCAGAATGTAGCAGTGAGCAGCTTCACAGTTTTAAGGAGAGGTGTGAGTCTCCAGTTGCTGAGAAAAGGCCAGGACTACAGAAGGTCCCAGGGAGTCAAGCAGTCAGTGAGGAGGCCCCTGCCAAAGCCAGAGGGATCTGAGTTAGGGGGTGCTGGTACATGGGTCCAGAGGCTTCCCATGTCCAAGGGAGTGGGCTCAAGGCTGGCTGGTCTGGTCTAGGGAATTGGAGTTGGGATAGGTCTGAGTGCAACTGGTTTGGGACTGTGGCTGATCTCAGAGCCACAGGCTCCTTCTGCTTGGACGGATGTGGCTTCAGACTTCACAGTGGCCTGGGCTGGTGCCACTGGGCTGCCCTGTCACAACAGAGAGGCCATTGCCTTCAAGGGCTTCCCCAAATGGCTACCATGCTGGAAGCCATTGCAGTCAGGTCTCCTCCAAAGGGAGGGTGGGATAGAAGTAGCAGCCTGGATCATCTGGAGTGGCTGGGAACAGGGGTCCATTCTGGGGCTCACAGTGAGCTTGGGGAGGCTACTACACACTGTGGCAGTGGGAACCAGAATTTCATGGGGCCTATGCTGCTGAGTGAGCTAATACAGCCTGGGCCTCCAGTTTGGGGGTAGCTCAGGAGTAACAAGAGGGACCCTGTGTGTCTGGGGCCCAGGAAGGTTCAAGTTTATCAGCAGAAAGTGGTGATACCAAAGATGAGGAAAGATGGCGAAAGATATAAAACAGAGATAGCACCATGCACAAGCAGATGTGGCATGTGAGCGAGCCTCAGGTTGTTCCCTGGGCTCCCAGCAGTTCAATGGGGTGCAGGACAGCGTCAAAAGTGCTCAGACAGCCCTGCAGGGCCACGTGCCCTCTCCCACCATGATGCAGTCCCTGATTACCTTAGCAGAGCTCAGGAGGCAGGTGAGATAGTTATTCACAGTGAGGGATCAAGTGTAGAGCTCTGGAGTGGGCCTAAAGGTTGCCTCATGTCCCCTCCACCATGATTAACAGAGGCCTTCTTGGTCTTGTGTCACTCCTACATAGAATAGGATCACCCCTTCTCAGATTTCCACTGTCCAGCCCCAAGGGCCCCATGTCAAGGGGCAGCAACAATGGTATACCTCATCTTCACAGCCCAGCTACAGCACCTTCTTTTAACATTGAGGTTAACTTCAGGCTGTTTCACAGAAACACATGGGCTCAGTCAATCCCTGGGATACATAGCTGCTCAGTCCCTGTGGGCTCTGAGAGGGCCAGAGCCAGTCAGATCCAAATGGTACATCAAGGGCTCAGGTCAGCACAGGGCGTCTCTGCCTTCTACAGTTTACTAGGCTCTCAGACACACAGAGAATCTCAGGTGTAGTCTTAGAGGAACAGAAGTTAGGAATGAGAAGGGTGGCTCAGAAAACCAGCATGGCCAGGGCCTGGAGGGGTAGGGGTGAGATATATGGAGGGCAGGAAAATTCAGAGAGAGCCACTCCCCAGACTAGTTCCCACAGCTCAAAGCTCAATCCCAGAGGACAGAACAAAGTAACAGCAGTGTAGTGGGCCTAAGACCTGAGTTACTGTTGTTTTGGGTTTGTGAGCCTGTCATTCACTGAGGATTATAATTTTCTGATTCAGGGATGTCTGTGAGAATGTGATGAAACCCATGCTGCCTCCCACCAGGAAAGGGCTGTTTCCATATCCAACGCAAAGGACGTACCCAGAGTCCACCTAAGTCCTTCCTGGCTTCCCTTGAGAGGTGACATATCCTCAGGCTTCATGGGAGGTGACTGGCAGTGACTTGTTGAGGCCACACTCAGATCTTCTGGCAGCTACACCAATGACCAGCTTGGGCCCTCTCTCCATAGCCCTCAGGCTCTAAGAGTCAATGAAGGCAGGATGTGAATGCCTGCCCATCATTGCCAACAAGGAGACAGAAGCTGGAGTATGCAACCCCAAGATCCACAGCCCAGCTGGCCCGTACCCTGCTGTGACTATATCCCCCTCCGACCAGCCTAGACCTTTTGGGTTGCCAAGAGTTTAACACAAGAAACCTTATAGGTCAAAGACAGGTACGGTTGTGTATACATATAATCCCAGCACTTGGGAGGCTGAGGGAGGGCTGTGAGAGTCAATCTGAGCTACAAAGACCTTATCCTTTTTTTTTTTTTTTTTTTGGGCAGCACTGGGGTTTTAACTAAGGGACTCATGCATGCTAGGCAGGTGCTCTTACTGCTTGAACCACTCCGCCAGTCCAAAACAGCTTATTTTAAAAAAAGAAATCCTATAGATCCTGTCTCATTAGGCCTTGGCTGTGGGAAAGAGGGAGTAAACAGACAGGTAGCAGAGCCTAGTCAGTGAGTTGGGGAGACCCAAGCCAGGCACTGGCTCTGAGGACTCAACTGCCACCTTCTCCTCCTACACATCCAGCTTGGGAGACCCTCAATGCTTAAGACTTTCAGGGAAGGGTGGAGGCACCAACCCTCAGGCAGAAAAAGTCAGAGTGCCTAGCCAGGTTTCCTACCTCAAGCCACAGCCCCAACCAGCATGGAGACAGGGGCTCCATGTGATCCTCCACTTCCTGCATGACCACAGGGCAGGTGCTAACAGAGGCTCCCTATCGAAGAAGCTGCCACCAGCAGCCCCTCTGGTTCTGCAGGGCACACCACAGGGATCCTTCCAGTGCAAAGCTGGGCCTCAGCCTCCCTTCCCTACCCTAGAGAATATTCCAGAACAAGCAAGGATGTGCAATGGGATGGAACCAGCACTATCCTGCTACAGATGCTTCAACTATGTGGGAACCTTGGCTCCACAGTTCTGTGGGGACAGGGAACTGCATACAACCCACTCTAGGTCTTTGGGGCAAGGGGCAACAGGGAGGGAGAAATCCAGTCCTCCAAGCAAAGAAGCACACACACAGCCTGGCTTAGACTTTATTCACTCCGTGCCCCACAGGCACAATAAATGCTGTGTGTTTGACCCATCTAGACTGAGCCACTGCTGAGCTCCAGGCCTCCTGGGGTCGTGGAACAAAGGCTCTGAGGGCCTCTGAAAAGTCCACCCAGAATCTGTGTGGCCACCAGACCCACAATTCATCCACTGCTCACAGGTGGCCCTTACAGCCACTCCAGGAAGCACCCATAGTGCTAAAAGGCCCACTGGGAAAGGCTGAGCCTGGTAGTCAGGTGATGGAGGGGGGGTGTGGTCACTTCCCACTGGCTCGCTTCTGCACCACTGCAGGCTCTGAAAGTGCCTGTTGCTGAAGCTGCTGGACCAGCTCCTCCACATAGATCTTGAACAGGGGGACAGGGTCCTGAAGGAGAGAGGGTCATAGTGAAGTTCACAGTAGCCTAGAGCAATTGGGAGTTCTGGGGACAATGGGAACTGGCTGCTGCTGGCCACAGAGGAACTGGCACATCAGAGTACCCGGTCACAGGAACTCAAGAGACTGCTTGCCAACCTGGAGGGCAGAGCCTGTTCACAAAACGAGGGCATCCCCCTCCCTTGGGAATGCAGGAGTCACAGGCCTGCCTCTGGCTTCCCGGAGGTCACAGGTTAACTAAGCAGAGGAATGGGAGCATCCACTGCCATGCCCACAGGTGGGTGCCTGTCCTGGCAGCCACTACGGGCTCCAGACTGTTAGGGAACACAACAGGAAGATCCTGGGGGGATGCTGGGCACCAAGTACACACAATCCCAAGGATCCCACTCTTCCTGCTGAGGGCCCAGTAGCAGAAGAGGACCTTGTGGGGAGAAAGCACACCATGCCCCTCCACGTGGGTATACAGAAGCCAGGGCTCACCTTCTCCTCCAGGAGCCTTTGTTTCTCTACAGCCTCTTCCAGTGTCAGGCCCACCCACTCAGCCTCTGCCTCCGGGATGGAAAAGTCCTGGTCAGACAGACAGAGGGCTTGGTGAGGCCTAGGGGCTGCAGCAACAGACACAAGCAGCCTAGGAGATAGGGAAACCCTTACCTTGTACTTGTGGTAGATGGCTGCCCTCCGCTCAGGGTCATCTGGATGCAGCTGGGGGTCCTGGCGGGCAAGCCTCAGTAGCATCCCTCGCTTCAGGTCCATACCAAACTTGGAGCACAGGTCCTCCTTTGGGGTCTGGCAGGAGGCTCACATGGGGCCAAGCACGACACCAGGACTATACCCACCCCACAGCCAGCCCTGCTAGGCTCCTCGTCAGCTGCCGGCAGCTCTAGGCCAAGCTAGGTGCCAGGAGTGGTCAGGTCAGAGGCAAGCCAAGAGTAGGAAAGGAGGTGGCTATACTCACTCAGGTCCATTCTGAGGGCAGAAAGCTCCACTGGGGCTGCCCAGAGGGGACATGGTCCTACTGTTTCCCACTAGCTACCCCAAACACTATGTGCCATGGTGTGGTGCTGCTCTGAGACTCCCTTGAGTCTTACCAAAGACCCCATTGTGCACTAAATCCCCCTTGCCTTGAGAATATAGAAGTCGAACCCATAGGCATCATCAATGAGATCCAGGGTCCGCATGGTCACAGTCACAGTGAACTTCTTGTCCAAGATCTCACTGTACAGCTCGCGCTGAAACAGCTGCGGCTTCCACAACTTCTTCACCCTATTTGAGAGCTAAGAGTGCAACAGAGACCTCATGAGTGCTGGAGGCTGCATCTTCCTGCAGACCCTATGGAGCCCAAACGACCTTCCTAGTGGAGCCGGGCCACAGGGTCCCCCTCACCTCACCCCTAGCAAGAAGCTCCATCACAGAACCAGTGCTTGAGACTCCAAGCAAGGGATGGGCCTGGCTGCTCACTTAGAGGCCAGCTTCTCCCTCCCTTGTTTCCAAGGCTGCTAGTGTGTGCTCTGTTTTTTCTTTTTCTTTTTTCTTTTTTTTTTTACGGTACTGGAGTTTGAGTACAGGTCCTACACCTTGAGCCACTCCACCAGCTTTTTTTCTGTAATTTTTTTTTTTTTTCCCCCGACAGAGTCTCACGAACTATTTGCCCCGGCTTCAAACTGTGAACCTCCTGATCTCTGCCTCCTGAGTAGCAAGGATTACAGACGTGAGCCACCAGTGCCTGGCCTTGGTGTGTGCTCTAGATTCTTGCACAATTGTATCCCAGGGGCCCAAGGGCCAAAGCAGAGGGAGACAGTAGCCTAGGAGGGTTCAAACTTTTCTCCATCTATAGGGCTTGGCCGGGAGCACAGTCCTACTAGAAGTCCACTGGGGAGCCAGGGTCTGCCGTTTGGAAGCTGCCTGACTCTAACATCTCTGCCTTCCTAGTTTTGATGGGGAAGGAGAGCTATCATCATGTCACAACAATTAAGCAAATTATGTCAGGCTGGCAGGAGACTGCTGATCTCACCTCCGTGCCTTAGCAAGCCCATCCTTGCTTTTTTTTTTTTTTTCCTTTTGTGGTGCTGGGGATCAGGGCCTCCCTCATGCTAGGCAAGTATTCTATCACTGAGCTACGCCCCAAGCAACCTCCATCTTTTTTTGTGTGTGTGTGGGTCTCGGGTTTAACTCAGGGCTTCGCACTTACAAAGCAGACACTCTACCTGCTTGCCCCCGGGGCTGGCCTCGAACCACGATCCTCCCAAGTAGTTGGGATTACAGACATAAGCCACCGGCGCCCAGTCCCTCTGGATTTTGGCAGTGGTATTTACCAGATCCTGGCTGCTCCACTTGTTAGCATGCTCCTGGGACGGAGCTGTGTGCACCAGACCGGCGCCCCGCAGGGCCAGGCCCGGCCTGGCCAGCAAGGTCGCGCGAAGCCCGGAGCCGGCCAGCACCCACCTTGTCGTTGTTGGCGTATCTGTAGCCCTGGATCCAGCCCTCGCCGCCCCACAGCCCCTTTTGGGAGTCCGGCGGGTAGTGAATGGGGATGGGCACGTCTTCCACGCGCTCCCGCTGCGCGTTCTTGGGGTTGATCTTGAACTTGGCCCCGTGGGGCCTGTAGTGGACGGCGGTGGGCGTGCGCTCGTCCTCCAGCGAGCGCAAGAAATGCGCGGGCAGGCGCGAGCAGATGCCCTCCCGCAGCCGCAGCCGCCGCCAGAGGTAGACAGGGTACTTGTGCAGGGGCATCGCGCGGCTGGGCGGGACACAGAGGCAGGCGCCGCAGACCAGGGCCAGCCCCGCAGCCCCAGTCTACCTCCCCGGGGCTCGCGCCCGACTCCCGCCGGAACCGGAACTGCGAGCTCGTCCCGCTACCTCTGCCAGCCGCCAATTGGCTGACAGGCCCGTCAGTTTACCCTTGTCCCGCCTCTCTTCCTGATTGAGGGAACGTGAAGAACGTCTTACAGAGACAGCAGCAGCTCAAGGGGCGATCAGCAAAGAGCGGCCCAGGCGCGGCGAGGCTTGCCATAGTCTGGGCCTCGCCTTCCTTCCTCCCACCCGAAAGGAGCTCGAAATAAATGGAGAAAACACACACACACACACACACACACACACGAAAAGACGTAAAAACTCGTTTGGCTTGAAAAATCACTGTACAATATTAAATTCATCAATCACATAAAAATAGGTCTTAGTATCTTACAATTACCCCCCTAACCATATTTACATGTTTCCCTTTTCAGAGACAGGAGTGCTTTGGTGATTAAGTGAAGAGTGGGGCTGGGAGAGGCTCCAAGGAAACCCACATCCTGGAGAGGACCAGAAAGGAAGCTCACAAGGCCAGAGAGTAGGAGGGCCCCCACCCTCAGCCTCATCAGCACCAACTTCCCAGTGGCCTAGTCCCAGACCACTCACAAGGACAGCAGCCCTTCATTCGGCTTGGGGAGAAAGGAGCAGGACAGTGCTCTGGGAGGCAATCACCCCAAAGCACCCAGGTTGAAAGGATGGGCCTTGTCTCCAGAGGCCCTCCTAAGCCTCAGTTGGTCCAATATCAGGTGTTGGCAGCCACCATCTCAGCTACTAGCACCAACCCAAAAACAGCCCAGAACCCAGGGTGAACATGAACACAAACATGGGGCAGTATGCCTTGGGGACTATGCCCTCAGCAACCTAGCAGACCCTTCCCCAGAAGTTTCTTCTCAGAATCTGTGGCTCCATAAGGAGAATGGAGAGCCAGAGGAAGGGACAGGGCCCTACACCCCAGGGACCCATCAGCTCTCTGGTGATCTTGGTCTCTCCTAAGCAGTGGGTCCCCATTCCCAAGGCAGACTGGCATTCATGGGTGCATAGTGTCAGGGATGCCAACCTCAGTGGGCTCAGGCTTGCCCCGTTAGTTTCACAAAGGAATCTCTCTACACCTCTAGCCATCCCCAGAACAGCAGAGTACAGGGCTCCACCCAGCACATGGTACCTGTGGTCTCCAGGGGCCACTGCTGAAGTAGCTGAGCCCTGCAAAGGATGTCAGCGGCACACACCAGGGAGCTGTGATTGGGTTGGGCAGTTCTCTCCTCTGGAAGAGCAAAGGGTATCAGGGCAATTTTATTCAGCTGGGAACCAATGTGGGCAGGGCTCCTCTCCCTTGTTCCCACTCTTGGCTGAAGAGGTCATTAGAGCAACAAATGTCTAGAGCTAGCCACATCACGTCACTGTATACAGCTCATCCCGATCATTCCTGCAGATCTGGTAGTGACAAGGGAACTTCTGTGAGCAGGCCCAGGGCTCAACCTGCTCCTCCCGTGGTGGCAGTAGGAAAGCTGCACTTCCAGCCAGCAGTACGTGCCAGATGCTGTGGGTATAGTAATAGTTGTCACTGGTCATCATGGAGGTGTAGATGGTGATACCCACAGAGGCCATGGAGATGCCAGGCAGGAGGTAGAAGGCCCAGCGCTGCCATGAGGTGGGATAGCACTGGCGCCGGTGCCCACAGCGATATACCTGAAGCGAACAGTCACACAATTGTTGATGCAGGCCAGCTGCAGGGGTCTAGGGCCAGTGGTCATGGGGGCCCATCTGGGTCTGGGCAGCAGAATCCTGAGGTGTGGGTTGCTGGGAGAGGGTTCAAAGGCACATGGCCACAGGTCCTCAGACCCAGGCCTCAGGCATACAGCTGCTAGCAGCCCTCAGCAGATGCAGGGTGCTCAGCCCCTCCCAGCAGGACCAGGAGCCTGGCCAGAACAAAAGGTCTGGCTCTCCTCTCCCAGAGTCAGAGCAAGAGCACCTATCTTCCTTGGCTCCTTACCCACATGGATGCCATGATCATGAAGGCAAAGAGGCAGGGTCCCATCACGTTCCAGATGCCTCTGCGGTCCAGCTGCAAGGACATAGCGATGACCAATATGCCCAGGACAAATAGAACCTGGGAAAAACATAGGGACAACTGTGGGGTCATAGAAGCTTTAGACTGGGGTCATCTGTGACAACACAAGACCCAGCAGGAGCAGCTGGCTGAGCCTGCTGGTCATCCCAATGCTCCCACTACCTCTGTACCTTTCCTGCTCCCCTTAGAGCTGCAGGCAGACTTTGCCCTGCTCTGCTATCTAGGAGACAAGTGCCCTCCTCCAGCCACTCTATTGTGCCCACATGTGAACACAGGCGTGATTCTGAAACACAGGCATGGCCAGATAGGTCCCTTTGGGGACTGTGCTGCTCCCTAAGGCAGAACACAAACTGGCAGCCACACTGGCAGCTCTGCAACCACACACTCAGCTATCTCTACACCCCTGGACTTTCAGGGTCTCCCAATAGGGTAGCTCAGAACTCCATGGGAAGGGGCAACCACACCCAAGTCTCCATCAGCACCTCTACCCACACCTGCAAGGTCATATTCCTAACTCCAGTGCTCTGGGATCATGCTCCTCCCACCCTGTGCCAGGACCATGAGGCTCCTATGGGTACCCCTTTGGGCAGCATCTGGCCTGCAGTTCAGAGCAGACTTGGCAAAAACAGAAGATGTAGTTTACCAGCACCATAGAGTCATTCCCATTGGTCAAGTCCAGCTGCCACAGAAAGTCCCCAAAGTGTCCTGGAGCCAGGGAAGCCAGGAGCATGGCTACAGTTTCTAGGGAGCTCTGGGGTAGTGCAGGCTCCCTACACTGCCCCAGATGAGTTAAGGGGCCTTACAGAACCCCATACACCACCTTCCTTCCCGGTATCTTCTGATGGCTGGCACTTTTCCTTCACAGCTGCCTGTGGCTTTCTTCTGATGACAGCTGGTCATTATGTGACACCCTTTCTGTTCTTTTCCTCCCTGCTACTGTGTGTGAGGGCTTCTGCACCTCTGGAGCTTGGGCCCAGCATCAGAAGTCACTCACGTGTTTCAGGTCTGTCTTCAGCCGGGCCATGCAGAGGATAGTGACCCAGGTGGACGCCCCAGAGCCCAGGAAGTCACAGTACTGCAGGGTGTCATAGCTGAGGATACACAGCACGGCCTCTCCTGGCTGGTCGCAGGCATGGTAGAACTGAGAGGTGGGGCAGTGAGCAACAGCCCAGGCCTCTCCTACCCTAGGATTCCCCAAGGGGTGGGCCAGACCTACCGTGGAGAAGAACATGGTGTAAAAGTAGACAGAGGCCTCTACCAGGAGGGCACGGTGCACAGACACAGCGATGGGAGCCAGGAACACGAGGTTGCTGAGGGTGAGGAGGAGGGCTGCCGCCCTCTGCTGGGCCACAGTCTGGGCTGTACTGTTGTCTGTGCAGCTCCACCCACGCCAGCCTGGGGGCCACAAAACAACACCCAGGGTGCTGAAGAAAGCAACTCAGGACAGGCTCCAGTGGGAAGACTTCTTTTTTTTTTTGGACTGAGGTTCAAACCCAGGACTGCATTGTGCTTGCCAGGCAGGGCACTTTACCACTTGAGCCACACCCACAGGCCTTTTGCTTTAGGGTTTGTTTTTTCCTTTTTGGTGGGAGTGGAGTTGAAACTCAGGGCTGCAAGCTTGTAAAGCAGGCGCTCCAGCCCATTTTGATCTAGTTATTTTGGAGATGGGGGGGTCTCGAAAACTATTTACCTAGGCTGGGCTCATATGGCAATCCTTTGAAGTAGCTAAGATTATAGGGGTGTGCAACCAGCACCTGGCCTAGGTATTCTTTTTTTTTTTTTTTTTTTTGTGGGACTGGGGTTTGAGGTCAAGGCTGTGAAGCAGGTAGTCTACCACCAGAGCCCCATAAGGAGGTCCAGTCACCAGGGGAAAAAAAAAAAAAGTCTAGCCGATTATAAGGTCTCTTTTATGCCCAGGCTGGTCTGCACCACAATCTTCACTTTTTTGTGTGTGGTACTGGGGCTTGAACTCAGGACCTACACCTTGAGCCATTCCATCAGCTCTTTTTTTTTGTGATGGGTGTTTTTGATAGGGTCTCGCAAACTATTTGCCCAGGCTGGCTTCGAACCATGATCCTCCTGATCTCTGCCTCCTGAGTCACTAGGATTACAGGTGTGAGCGGACAAGTGTGTATGGGCACAGGCAGGTATGCTCAGGTGTGGGCAGGTAGGGATAGGTGTGGACAGCTATAGGCAGGTGGGGACAAGTATGGCAGGTTGGGCAGGTAGGGATAAGTGTCAACAGGTAGAAACAGGCATAGACAGGTGTGAGCAGAGATGTGTATGTACAGGCAAGTGTGAACAGGCATGACAAGTACAGGCAGGTAGAAACAGGCATGGACAGGACTAGGTAGAGGGAAATAACTGTGGGCAAGTAAGTGGAGGCATGGGCAGGTGTGGGCAAGTGTAGGCAGGCATGGGCAGGAGAGGCCAAAGTCACGAGACAGTAGCACCCTGGAGACACCTCAGTGTCTCTGTGCCTGGATGGGTGGATCATGGGAAGCATGGGAGCAGTGCAGAGGTGCTGTTGTCTTTTCTTTGCTCTGCAGGAATGCTTTCTCCAGCCCTGGTGAGGCTTCCACAAGCAAGTACTGGGCTGGGATACCAATGGCAGCAGAAATTGTCCCTAGGAATGCAGGGCCCTAGCCCTCACCTGCCTTGCAGCTGCAGCCAGCATACAGATAGCCATGTCTGCGGAGGAGGAGGCACTGGCCATAGGGTCCACAGTCATTCAAACAGGGCACCAGAGATAAGGTGGTCTCTATTCGGATCATGGCCTGCTCACAGTCCCTGTGAAGGACGGGCCAGGAGAAGGCTGGTTGCAGCCCTCTGTTGGCCATTCTACCATCAGGGCTGTCAACAAGCTTATGTACATAAAAAGTCCAGAATCAAGCCCCATAGGCCCCAACAGCCCTGCAGCAGACATCCCCCTTCCCTCTGGCCAGGGCTGTTGTGGTTGGGGACATGTAGAGAAGAGGATTTAATCCTTCTAACACATGGAAGGCAATGATCCCTTGCTGCCAGCTGCCAGTTGGATCACTCCCAAACAGCAGTGTCAGGTAACCCCATCCATAGTTCTGAACGCAATGACTTGGGCCCCAAGCCACCAGCCCTCATTGCCTGGGCCCAAGGTTACGTACTCAGGACTCTCGGGACACAGGAGCTGCAGGGAGAGGTACCAGTTTTCTGTCTCTGGGTAGGGAATGATGAGGTTGGCCATGAGAGATGAAGCATTCAGAGATAAGGGGTGGCCCTGGAAGAAGGCTGTGCAGAGCAAAATGGCCTATCAGAGATAGATGGAGGTCCAGCCAGGATCTCCCTGCCAGATGCTACCTCCCCACCATACCTGTGGTGCAATTGAGTGAAGCATTGAAACTGAGGAAGGGCGAGGCAGCATTCACACAGGCAGCTACCAAAGTGCCATTTGTGAACTCTGTCTAGAAGGAGAAGTGGTACAGTGTCAGGTCCCCTCTGCCCCTGAGAGAGGCAGCTAAGAAGTGCTGGATACTTTTCTCTGAGGCTGCTAGTCTAAGGCTCATCCCAGCCCTTCCCTCTAGAACTTGGACACCTGCTATCTCTGGTTCCAACTACTCCACTGCCCATTTCCTTAGGCACTGCCATGGTACCTGCAAACACAGACAGGGCTGTCCTTAGAGGCCCTCTGTCCTCAGATCAACCTATGTGCTGGACCATGCCAGCTGGGGTCACTCTGTTGCCTGAAAGACCATCCTACCTGAGTCTCTATGCCAAGTTTGGTCACCCAGTACCCTGAACCAAGCCTAGGTCACAAGCAATTTGCAGACAGGCCTAGCGGGCTTTCAGAACAGTACCTTGTTGGTCCTCAGGGTGATGGTGAGGGAGCCCCCACTGTCCATGCCCGTGTCAAGACGGAGTTGCATTATGGAGGGTATGTCTGAATGCACCAGTACCAAGACCCCATCCCGGGGCTGGAAGCGCACAGACACCACATCCATGTCCTCTCTCATAACTGGGTAGCTCAGGAGACAGAATGGGCCACTGTCCACCCCATCACTCCTGCCTAGGTCTTGGTGAACAGGGCCTGGAGATAGCTTGCCTTCAGAGGTCGCATAGCTCTGGTTTGAACTGTTTTGCACAAAGCGCTGGAAGGTCACACTCTGTGCCCTGCAAGCTGTCAGAGGACAAGGTGCTTAGCAGGAGGAAAGCCTGAGGCAGAGCCACTCCACCATTCCCTCCCTCTCATGTAACCCACCTGTGAGGGTAGCCTCAACACTGAAGGCCACTGATAGATGGGGCCCTGCCAGGTTCTCAGCCATCACTTGGAGCCACCGGCCCCAGGGTGGTGAGGGCAGCAGCAGATGGCAAGATGGGGTAGGGCCAGTGCAAGTCAGCACCTTCTGGAAGTTGTTGGGCAGGGTGACCACACCCACTGTGAGACGCACGGGGCAGCCCGGGCTCCCGCTGGACACACAGCCCTGCAGCTCCAGCCGAAGCTCCTGGGTGTACTCAGGGACAAAGATCCTGCAGCAAGGTGGTGTGGTCTCATTCACAGAATCTGTACATTCTCCAACCCACTAAGGTGGGGCATCTGGCCCCACTTCCAAAGACCCTAGCTGTATCACCCACTCCCAATCCTGGATCTGGGACTGCAGGGGAGACTTGGGCCTCCCCCAGGTCCCCACTCACTTGAGGTAGCTGGGGTAGGAGAGAAGGGTCTGTGGAAGGGGTACATCAGGCTCCAGGATGGAGACCTCGACCACCCGCATAACCAGCATGTCAGGCTGAAAGATGTAGGCACAGGTGGGAATAAAATCCTGGGGGAGAACAAGGCATGGGGACAGGGGTCAGAGAATGCAGGATGTGGGCCACAGGAGCAGGCCTGGGGGATGCAGAACTGGATCCAGAGTGGGGTGACTGAGCCCCAGTGAGTCTGCCACAAAGAGGTGGATGACAGATCACTATGCACCAAGGGGTCCTCCCCCCATCCTTGGAGGTCAGCCCACCTCACCTTCACCTGGATCTTCTGGGATGAGGGGGGCAGGTGGGCAGCCACAAACCAGTCCCCAGGGGCTGGATGGGAAACATTGATTGAGGTGTTGCCCAGGAGCATGGTGCTCATCAGTGCCCTGATGTAGAAGGAGGTCTGCACTGAGGTGTTCTCGGGGAAGCTGGTACCCAGCGGGTTGATGACCGGAGGAGCGCCATAGCGGAAGTGCCTGGGGGAAAAGAGCACTCTGAAGTCAGGTGTAGGGCCTCAGACAAGCAAGGGTGCTGGGGGTGGAAGGCTGGGCACCTACACGGTGATCTCCACATCGGAGCACGTGGGGCCACTGTCCTGGGACATGTGCAGCAGCCAGCGTAGTAGTACAGTATCTAGGGGCACGTGGAAGTGGAAGAGTCGGGCACTGCCATACCAGTTGTAGAAAGACAGCTTCTGTGGGGCCTGTGAGAAGTGCTCAGATACCAGCCCAGCCTCTGCAGGGAGAAGACGCCATGAGTCAAATGGAGCATCTCCTCCAGGGTGCAGACAAGGAGGAAATGAGGCCCCCTCGCTCACGTGGGCTCCACTCAGAGACCCCAGAGGGAAAAGGAGCCAAGTTCTGGAACAAGCCTGGAGCTCCTGTCATGCCAATTTTGACCTTGGCATTGGTCCCTATTTTCCTCTGGTCCCTGGAGGTTGTCTCTGGAATTTTCCCCTTGATCCAGGCATACATTCTTTTGCCTCCACTCCTCTGATGGCCACAGCCCACCCACCAGGGGTCTGGCTTTCTAACCATGCAGCAGTTTCCAAATAAACCCAGTGGCCCCAAACACCCAACATCCTCCAATTCCCAACATCCCCCATGGCTAGCCATGGGGACCAAGGGACAACTGGCCCCTGTGCTCCAGATGAGTGTCCTTGGGGCACACAACTATGCATGGTGGTGCAGGGATGAAGCAGGGCCCATGGTAAACAAACTGCTCAAAGCTCCCAGGCTCCCAGGGAGTCTCAGGCCCCGCAGCAGATCTCAATCTCTCACCCTAGCACCAGCACCAGCTCAGGCCTTGTGCCCTGTGTGACCTTGGGTGTCCCTTCCCTGTCTACATCTCAGAGTCCCTGTTTGTGGGTGGAGGTGGACAGCATGTCCCTTTGGAGCCCCTCCCTCCAAGGTTAATGAGTGGTGAAGTGCCTCCAGAGAAAAAGCAGCCTTTGGCCTCCTCTGTGCTGAGTGCTCTCTACCCAGAAGCCTCCCTCTGCCACACTGGGAGAGTGATGGCCCCCAGGAGAGGGGGAGGGAGCCAGGTAAACAGCTGGCTGTCCTGACAGTCTCCTGATTCTTCCCCTCAGAGGCACCTGGAGAAAAGACAGCAGCCTGTGGGAGTCAGGGGAGCTCCAGAGCAGCCTGGCATGGGGGTGGGGCAGGGGAGGCTCCAACACAATGTATTCTGTTTCACTCATCCGGCTGTGGCCTGAATGTCAGGAGTTGCTATGGGCCCTGGGGAGTGGAGATGACAAGATAATGGGGTAGAAAAACTAAACTCCCTAGGGGAAGATGCTTTTTGGAGATTAACCTAAGCCAAAGCACATTGTAAGCATATATGGAAATGTCACAATGAAACCCTCTGTACAACTAATATATGCTAATAAAAATGGCAAAAAAAGAAAAGAAAAGAAAGGAAAAACTAAAGAATTGAGAGCTGAGGAAGGGCAGATCCCTCACCCCCAGGACTAGGAGGTCTTAAAGAAACAGCTAGACAGGACGATACCCAGCCTCTGCCTGCAGGGGACCAAGCAGGGGAGGTCACCCTGTAATATGCAGGTCCCTTGTCTTGCTAGGGGAAAAGCTCTTAGGCCCCCCTAGTCCCAGAACACCAGCATGAAGACAACTAAAATCCAGCTGGTAATTATGATGTTTTAACAGGTAGAAGAGAGATAAGAGATCTGCTTGAGGTTGCCTTAAGACCTGGTACCAAACTCTCAGGTCTACACAGTTCCTGGAAGGCTCCCCCAGCCTCCCTGGCCAAGACACCCACACAGTTACTTTGGTGAACATACCAGGACATTAGCAAGAACTAAGCCCTAAGTGAGATCAGGAATAGTGAGAGCCAATCACATGATTGGCCTCTCCCCCACCAAGCCTTCCCTGGGAACCTGTGACATACCCTGTCCCACATCCTCTAAACTTGGACAGGAGCTAGCTACAGACCCTCCTACCCACTCCAGTAGCCAGGTCCACAGAACTGCCTGACCTTCAGCTCAAAAGGCCTGGGAAGAGGTGAGCGTCTTATTCAGCCCACTAGACCCTACTCACCTGACCAGATATTCCATAAACACACCACCACCAGTGAACCTCACCCAGACCTGATCCCGAGGGTGGAGGAAAAGAAGAAAATAGGGTGGCAGTATCCAATGGAGCAATTTAATCAGAAGCAGGCTCCTCAGGGAAAACTTCCCTTCATTTCAAGCTGTGCCAAGTGCAGAAACCAGAAGGCACAGCCCTCAAAGAAACAAGAGCTTGTTGGAGCATAATTTCAGAGAAAGGGGGAGGGCTGGTAACGGGAAGTGAAGGGAGCAGCCCCAGAAGAGCTGGGTGAGCTGCCTACTGCTCAGAGGGTCAAGTGATGCAAGAGGCATATGGCCCCCAGGCCACAGTTGTCAGGGGAAGGTACTCATCTTTCACACATGTCCAGAACTGGCTTTCTACACCTCAGTGCCTGCCTCAGGCATAACCCAGGAGTGGCAATAACCCTGGTCTAACAGCCTCCTTGGACCTTAGTCAAGGATGGAGACCCTCCGGGTGTGGAAACTCAAAGGGAGGTGAGAAAGCTCCCCTCGGACACAGTGGGATACCCTTTCCTTAGGTCCACCCTGGTGTGCCAGCTTCCTCAGGACCAGCTAGGAGTACAGCCTCTGGGAAGCAAGGCAAGAGTTGAGAGTGACCGCCCTGGGGTTGTGGGCACAGTGAAAGAAGTAGAGACACGATGACCACGGTACCCTACTCAAGAGTCTGGGCAACTTTCTCCCAGCTCTGCTCCTCTACTAGACCAGATGGGGGCCCTAGCATCTCCACTGTCCCGGGTTCTTCCGGCGGGCTCCCAGCTAGGGTCCTCCACCTCCCCGAAGACTCCGGGGAGGAGAAATAAAGAAATCCAGACCCCTCTGGCCAAGGGACAGAGGAGCGTGAGCGTCCTTTCCGCCCCGATGCTCCGCGAAAGGCTCAACCCAGGGTGGGGACCTCGGTCGTGCGCCCCTAGCAGGTGAGCGCACAGGCGCCCTCAGGTGAGTCACAATCCGACCCCGCCCCTGGGCGCTCCCACCTCCCGGCTCGCGCCCCCGATGGCGCCGCAGGCCCGCTCTCTCACCGCTCTTCCTGCTGTCGCCGGCGGCGGCAGGCGGGGGCCGAGCGAGCAGTAGCAGCAGCAGTGGCCCAGCCACCGCCGCCGCCCGCCGCCGCCGCCGCCCGCTCCGCGCCCCCGGTGCCGCCCCGGCCCATGGCTCCGCGCTCGGCCGGCGCTACGCGGCCCGCGTCCCGCGCCGCTCGGCCCCTCCGCCGCCGCCCAGGCAGCCCCGCCGCCACTGCGGTCGTCGCCGCCGCAGTCCCTGCCCCGGGTTCCCATGGCCCGGCCGGTCCGGCCGCCGGCGCCCCGGGCACTTCCGCCTGCGAGGCCCCGCCCCGCGGGGAGCTGGGGAGCGCCCGGGCCGGGGAGGGCGCACCGGGCTCTGGAAGCCGAGGGCCGCAGGGAGGGGTGGCGCGGGCGCCGGGGACAGTCGGAGGGAGGCTGCAGACCCGCAACTGGACACACAGCGTCGGGGGAGATGGGCGGTACAAAATGGAGGGTCACGTGGGACACCTAGGGGGACGCGGGGCAGAGGTGTCACATGGGACAGGGGAGACAGGGGACAGATGAGTCACGTGGGCGGCATGGGGATGTGGGGCAGAGGAGTCACGCGGGGCACTTGAGGGGGACACGGGGGCAGAGGGGTCTCGGGGACGCGCCGGAGGGGTCACATGAGGCACTTGAGGGGGGCAATTGGGGCAGTGGGGTCACATGGGACACGAGGGGACCGAGCACTTGAGCGGGGCACATGGAGGTGTGAGGGCAGAGGGGTCACGAGAACAGAGGGTCACGCGAAGTGGACAAAATGGAGGCACGTGGGACACCTAGGGGACGCGGGGCAGAGGTGTCACATGGGACAGGGGAGACAGGGGACAGATGAGTCACGTGGGCGGCATGGGGATGTGGGGCAGAGGAGTCACGCGGGGCACTTGAGGGGGACACGGGGGGCAGAGGGGTCTCGGGGACGCGCCGGAGGGGTCACATGAGGCACTTGAGGGGGGCAATTGGGCAGTGGGGTCACATGGGACACGAGGGGGACCGAGCACTTGAGCGGGGCACATGGAGGTGTGAGGGCAGAGGGGTCACGAGGAACAGAGGGTCACGCGAAGTGGAACACAGAATGTGTGAAGCGGCGGGGGCTGGCGGCGCTCAGAGAAATTCTTCCTGGAGGCGCCCTGCGCGGGAGAGAACCTCCTAGTCGCGCGTGGAGATCCGCTGCCCTGCAGCGCCCGAGTGCCCCAGAGGAGCGCCTTGCTGAGCAGAGCCCCTGGCTGGGCTTCTTAGCCCGGCCGCTGCGAGGGTATAAAAGACACTTTCATGGAAAGATAGAGATGTTCCTGCAAGTGTGGAAACTTAGTAACACCGGGAAGGTGGCATTTCACATCAGTGTGGAATTAACTCCTGGCAGTTTATGTGGGGGTAGGTTCCAAACGGATTAAAGATGTAATCCAACAACAAGAAACCATAAAAGGCTCTGGGGAGACTGAGTTGTGGGGAAGAAAAGACTTTTTCTTATGTATGAGAACACCCAAAACACATTAGAGGCTAGTCTGGGAAATCCTACCACCGAGGGGAAAAAACAACGTTTTGCAGAGCAAAACTGCATGAGCAGGGGCTGGCAGAGTGGCTCAAGTGGTAGAGGTGCCTGCCTAGAAAATGCAGCACTCTGAGTTCAAACCCCAGTACCACCAAAAAAACAAGAAAACCTGCATGAGCGAAAATTTTTTTTAACTTCATAAACTGGAAGGAGTGTGCTTGCAGTTCATAACCAAAAGGGATAATCTTTTTTTTGTGTTGTTGGTACTGGGGTTTGAACTCGGCCTCATGCTTGCTAGGCAGGCACTCTACCACTTGAGCCACTCTGCCAGCCCTAAAAGGGTTAATCTACCCGGTGCTAGTGGCTCACGCCTGTAATTCTAGCTACTCAGGAGGCAGAGATCAGAGAATTTGTCGTGGGAAGCCCACTCCTGAGGGCAAATAGTTTGTGGTGGGAAAAAAAAAATCACAAAAAAGGGCTGGGATGGAGTGGCTCAAGCATAAGAGCATCTGCCTAGCAAGCCTGAAGCCCTGAGTTCTGAGTTCAACCCCTGATACCACAAAAAAAAAAAAAAAGTGCTGCACAAGTTTGTAGTTGCAAAGACCTTGGAGTCCCATAAAGGAGAATGAGTGTCATACATCTGTTCTGAATTTTTATGCAACTCTATGGGTCTCCTGGAGGAATAATGGCTATTCTGGCGGTGAGAATGTTGGTGGCAGGGTGGAGTCTGTGATCAGAAAACTCCCAAATTTTTGTGTCCCTCAGAGAAGAATCCATGGCAGGACACAGGGGTGCAAATGGAGTTCATTAAAAATTAGGGAAGGAAAGTACAAAAGGGTGCATGTGAGGCAGAGAGTTTCTCTTCTCCAGGTGCTTTTAAAACTTCTGCTAATCCAGGCAAAGGAGGAACCAGGTGACTCCTATCCAGTAATCAGTGAGTGGGGAGGGGCATGGGCAGTTCCCCGCCAGGTGAGGGCGGCCCTGGGCCAGAGCGTGGTCAATCTGAAATGCAGTATTTTCTGTGAGTCCCAGACTTTCCCTAATTTTAATCTGCCTCAAGAAGATACAGTTGCTGGAGAATACCTGTATTTCCAGATAGCCTGGAATACCCAGACTTAATGCTGTTTCTGAAACCACAGTTTTGGACCCAAGGCCCAAACTCTGAGATTCCATATGACAGGGCCAGCTACCTGCCCATAAATGCCAAATAAAGAGGCATGGTGAAGGCAGAGAAAGGAGGTTTACTACTCATCTTGGGACATGCAGTGGCAAGAGGCAGAGTAAGCACTTAGCTTATCTTCAGCCATCTTCGGGGTACAGATATGAGCTATAAGTTTAAGTAGACAACTGGGGGGGGGGAAGTATGCAGAGTTAAACTGTCCCAGTCACAGGTGTGTTCTGGTTGACCATTATCTCAGTCCAAGTGTTCGGGAAGGTTCTGGAGTTACTGGAGTTGTCTGGATTTATTGTCAATTGGTAGGTGGTCTACCCTGAGGAAGGTTTACTGTTGGGGGTAGTTTCTGTCCCTTTCCATAAGGATGTTATCATCTGTCTTTCCTAAAGTGACCGTAAAGAGAATGGCTTAGAGCAAAGGCATACAAAATGTAGGTAGGGATGCCAAGCTTTTCCTGTTTTTAGTTACTTCGTGGGTCCAAGCAAGGAGTCAGTGCTTTTCAGAAAAAGCAATTTGAGCACCTCTTATATTTCTAGTGAGCCAGGACCATACATTGGAGACCATGGCCTGCCTCACCCTGTTTGCAAAGGGACACTATGTGTTGGGGTGGAGGCACTGTAGAAGCCATTTTTCCCAGTCACTGTGTCCTTTTGCCACAGTGGACATCACTACACATGCTTTGGTTCATATTTCACAATGCCCTCTGGAGGAAGAGGAAGTGTGACTAGTTCTCTCCAGGTTGCCTCCCCTCCAGTCACTGTAGGGTAGTGGTTTGGAGCTCCACTACCTGCCTAGCTGAGACCTGACAATGGGCCTCATATCCCACTGCTTGGCTGGTGCCCAGTCCTGCACATGTTGCAGGAATGTTTGAGGTGCTCAGATACGCCAGGCTGCTCTCTTCCACCTGAGGCTCCAAATAAAATCCTTCTCTATGACCCACTTGTACTCCTGCCTTAACTGTGCTGCTTCCTGTGTGCAAGGCTTGCTGAGAGCTCTTTCTGTGGATTCTCTTCCAGTCTCTGCAGGTTGAAGAAAGGAAAAAAAAGGAACAAAACCTTTGTTCTATTTTTTATTTATTTATTTTTGGTACTGGGTTTGAACTCAAGGCCTTTCATTTCCTAGGCAGGCACTCTACCACTTAAGCCACTCCACCAGCCCTTTTTTGTAAAGGGTTTTTTGAGATAGGCTCTCACAAACTATTTGCCCGGGGCTGGTTTTGAACCACAATCCTCCTGATCTCTGTCTCCTGAGTAGCTAGGATTACAGATGTGAGTCACCATCGCCCGGCCCTTTTTTGCTTTTCTTATTTTTCAGATAGTCCCAAGTTTTTGCCCTGGACCTCAATCCTCCTACCTACAGTCTCTAGCAGCTGGAATCACAAGCGGCGTGTACTATCACGCCCAGCTTATAATTGAGATGGGGATCTCATGTTTTGCTTTGTCTGGCCTTGAAATCCTCTTGATTTCCCCTGGAATAGCTGAGATTATAGATGTGAGCCACCAAGCTGCATACAAATGAGCTCTTCTTGTTCGGGATGTTGTGTACAGATGAATGGGAAGATGAAGGGTGCAGGCAGTAGCCTTGAGCAAATGTGATGCAGAAGACCAGATCAAGTGTCCTTGACACTTGGGGACAAGGGGTAACAGGGGCAGCAGACTCTAAGTACATACTTAACCCATTGATATTTCATGTTATTGGTATGATTGTCTTTTGGTCTTCTGCTTTATTATTTGTTTAGTTCGCTCACTCTACTTTGTATTCTTTTCCTTCTGACTTATTTTGGATTAAATGAATATTTTCTAGTTCCATTTTAATTTATCTTTTAGCTTTTTATGTCTATTTCAGTATCATTTTCTTTTTGGAGGGAATGGGATTTGAACTCAGGGTCTCTGGTTTGCTAGGCAGGCACTCTACCATTCCAGCTACTTCCTGAAGTTGGCATCATTTTTATATTGGTTAACTAATTAGTTACTTATATTTGTATTTGTTTATATATATATTTATATATTGTTTTTTATTTTTTTATTTATTTAGAGACAGGAACTTTCCATCCTCCTGCCCCAGCCTCCTGAGTACAGGAATTATAGTTGTGTACTGCTACCACCAGCACTTACAGACTATTTAGCATTAATGTTTTGCCACTTAACATAAAATGCAGAAATCTTGCCACCATATAGGTTCATTTTCTCCTTCCCCGGCCTACAAGCTGTAATTATATAAACCATAAGATGCTATAATTTCCTAGGCTCTGTCTTCCTGAATACATCAGGGCTTTTTACTTGCAAAGTAATGAGCCACACCTCCTGTCCAGTTTTAGTCTGGTCATTTTGGAGATGGGGGTCTTGCAAACAATTTGTCAGGGGTGACCTTAAACCTTGATCCTCCTGATCTCAGCCTCCCAAGTAGCTAGAATTACAGGTGTGAGCTAACAGCACCCTGCTGTCTTCTCAAAAGATGGTTGGATCAGCTAACCAGTGTTTTGTATTTTTGGTACTGGGGTTTGAACTCAGGGCTTTGTGCTTGTTAGACAAACACTACAGCTTAAGCCATGACTCCAGCCCAGATATTTGGGTTTGAGTTGGATCTAGAATTCCTGGTTGGCAGGTTTTTTCTTGTTACTGTTGTTTGGTTGGTTTTTTGTTTGTTTGTTTTTGTGATACTGAGGTTTGAACTCAGGGCTTCAAGGCAGGTGAGTTTTTGTTATGTTTTGTCTCTTCTAGCTCTTTACAATGATACTCAAGCTGGGACCAATGTTATCCTAGGTAATCAGGAGGCAGAGATCAGGAGGATCCCAGTTTGAATCCAGCAGGGAGCAAACAGTTCCAGAGACCCTATCTTGAAAATACTCAACATAAAACATGGCTGGCAGGGTGGCTCATGCAAGCATGAGGCCCTGAGTTCTAAACCCCAGTACTGCCAAAAAGGAAAAGAAAAAGCTAGTCTGCTGTCTCCTGCTCTTAGTTTCTTATGTGAAGTGTGAGTCATTTGGTTTTCCCTTAACTGTAACATAACTTTTCTCTGCTTTCAGCACTTTGTCTTTAAATTTAGGTTGTTGGCAGTTTGACTATGATATGTTTGGGTACAGTGTTCCAATTTTTTGTTTGTTTTGTTTTCTTGTGGTGCTGAGGATGGAACATAGTGCCTTATACGTGCTGAGCAAGTGTTCTACAACTGAGCTATATCCCCCAGCCCTTGGGTACAGGATTTAAAAAAAAAAATTTGGACCCAGCATGCCTGTAATCCTACCTACTCAGGAGGCAGAGATCAGGAGGATCAAGGTTTCTGGGCAAATAGTTTCTGAGACCCTATCTGGAAAAAACTCTTCACAAAAAAGGGCTGGTGGAGTAGCTCAAGGTATAGGCCCTGAATTCAAGCCCCAGTACCACAAAAAAAAAAAAAAATTGGGGGTACTGAGGTTTGGGGTACTGAGGGTTGAGCTCAGGGCCTTGTTCTTGCTAGGCAAGTGCTCTACCACTTGGGACATGCCTCCAACCCTCTTTGCAGTGGTAAGGCTCACTGAGCTCCTTGCATCTATAAGTTAATGCATTTCTCCAAATTTATGAAATTTATGAATTTGGGGGTATTTCTTCACATATTTTTTCTGCCTCATTCTCTTTCCTATCCTTTTGGAACTCCCATTTCACATGTTAGCCCTCTTCACCTTTGCTAAGGTCACCATAGTGGGGACTCAGGGAAGGTGGGCTGCTTCTACAAGGAGTGTCCGTGTGCCAATCCAGGTAAACTAGTGAAGGGTGCCAAGGGGAGCCCTCAAACCAGAGTTCACAGTTCAGCCAGTGCTTGGCTGTGCTTGGCTGAGGCAAGAGGATAGCTTGAGTTTAGGAGTTGGAGCCAACCTAGACAACATAGTGAGAACTTCATCTCTCTCTTCTAATTTTTGCGGTACTAGGGATCAACCCAAGGGCCTTGCACATGCTAGGCAAATATTCTACCATTGAGCTATATTCCCAGTTGGTGGTTTTTTGAGACAGGATCTCCCTATGTAGCCTAGGACAGCCTCAAACTCACGATCCTCCTGCCTCTGCTTCCCAGATTGTGTGCTTACAGGTGTGAGCCATCACACCAAGATTTCATCCTTTTTTTTTTTCCCCTCTTTTTCTTTTTTTTGTAGCATTGGGGATTAAACCCAGAGCGTGGAGCTTGCTAGATAAGGGCTCTACCACTTTGAGGGAGGCTAAAATTAGAGAAAGTCTGGAACTCATAGAAAATACCGAATTTCAGATTGACCACGCTCTGGCCCAGGGCCACCCTCACCTGGCCGGGGGAACTGCCCATGCCCCTCCCCCACTCACTGATTACTGGATAGGAATCACCTGGTTCCTCCTCCTGGATTAGCAGAAGTTTTAAAAGCACCTAAAGAAGAGAAGCACACTCTCTGCCTTCAGATTCCTCCTGTGCCCCACCATGGCTCTCTTTTGTATTCCCCTTTCCCCCCTTTTTTTTTGTTGGCAGTACTGGGGCTTGAACTCAGGGCCAACAAGCCACTCCACCAGCCCTTTTTTTGTGACAGAGTTTTTCAAGATTTGCCTGGGCTGGCTTGGAACTGGGATCCTACTGATTTCTGCCTCCTGAATACTAGTATTACAGTGTGAGCCACTGGCCTATGGCTCCTTCCTTTTTAATAAACTCCATTTATACCCACGTGTCCAGCCATGAATTCTTCCCCAAGGGACACAAAGAATTTGAAAGTCTCCTGATCACAGACTCCATCCTCACTGCCAACAACTTGAGCTCTGTCCCCAGCCCTTTTTTTTTTTTTAATTTTGTTTTTGAGATAAGGTCTCTTGAACTTTGTCCAGGCTGCCTTGAACTCATGATCCCCTTCCCTCTGCCCTCAGAGTAGCTGGGATTACAGATGTGTACCACCACATTTGCCTATCCCTAAATAAAATAAATGAATTAATTAAAAAGGCAGACTGGATGGTTTTTTATTTTTAAATTCTTTTTAACTAATTCTTTTGGTAGTACTGGGGTTTGGACTCAGGGTCTCACGCTTGCTAGGCAGGCACTCTACTGCTTAAGCCACTCTTCCAGCTCTTTTTTGTGTTGGATTTTTCAAGATAGGGTCTCATAAGCCACTTATCTGGACTGGCCTCAAATCTCAATCCTCCTTATTCTCTGCCTCCTGAGTAACTGTATTACAGGTATGAACCACCAGTGCCTGTCATGGATTTCTTTTTTTGAAAAGCAAGATCCAACTATGTACAAAAGATTTGTTGCAAGTATAAAAGCACAATGGGTTGAAAATAAATGAATGGGCTGGTATGGTGGCACACATCTGTAATTTCAGCTACTTTGGAAGTGGAGAAAGAGGATCAAACTCTAAGACCAGCTGGGCCAAGAGTAGAGATAACATCTCAATCAAGAATCAAGAGTGTGGTGATGTGCACTTGTGGTCCCAGGTATATTTGAGGCTCTGGGTAGGAGGATCATGGTCACAGGCAGGTCCTGGGCAAAAATTAGAGACCCTATCTCTAGTAGCTAAAAAAAAAAAAAAAAAAAAAAAGGCTAGTGGTGGCACTGCTCAAGTGGTAGCATGCATGCCAAGATCAGACCCCAGTACCACTGAAAAAAGAATAAGCAAAAACTCCTTAAATAAGATCCAGCAGGAGGTCTCCTAACTAGTTCAACTGATACTGGAAATTTGGACCCATGGTCTCCATGCCAATTCACAAATAACCAGAGCAGGGTTTTGGAAAAGAGGAAATAAAAGTTTATTAATTCTGCCAGGCAAAATGAGGACTGCATGAGTTGCTACCTCGAAAGCTGCAAACCCCCCCCCCGGAAGTATGGGCTTCTGGATGTACTTGCTGTGGCCAGATGGTGGCCTTGGGTCTGTTTATTTCCCTATGTACTAGCGTTAGTCCTCGGAGCAGTAAGTCTTGTCCTGAATGTTCCTTCACTCCATGGTCAGCAAATAAGGTCAGGAGCATGATGACCTTGCCTGGAGCTGAAAAGTTCTCTGGCTGGGAGGATGAGTGTGTGTGTGTGGCGGGGTGGGGAGGGAGGGGTGGGAGGGAGAGATAAAGAGAAAGAAAAGAAAAAAGAATGCTTACAACTTTTAAAAACTTGCGTAATTGAAGGCAGGCTGGTTAGTAAAGCGCATTGGTTATTGGACTGAAAGTGCGCTTCTGAGCCTTTGTAGGTGTCCGTTCCCGGTGCGTAATTATCAGCTGCTAATACCCATTGATGATAGGTCATGATTGTACCTGTGTTTTTGTTTCTTAATACTGTATTTTTTTTTTCTTCTGATTTTAACAGAGGTTGGCACTAAGTGCCGCGGGAGCGCGCGGGCTCTGGCGGGTCAGGGTGGGGGTCTTGGCTCTGGCCGGGGCGGGACGGGCCAGGGGCGGGTCCGCGCGCGGCGCCGCCCTCCAAAGTTCCGGCTGGTTGCTGGCAGAGCGGGGGCCCGCGCCATGGGCAGCCTCTATGGGCGCGCTGCGCTGTGGGGGCTGCTGTGCAGGCCGCGCGCCCCGGGCCCGCGCCTGCTTGTGCGCCCCAGCTCCGGTGAGTCTGGCGCCCGCGGGGAGGCGGGCGGAGGGCGGCCGCGAGGCCTTTGTTGCCGCACATGTGGCGACCGACCCGGAATGGGCCTGGCGCGCGGGACGGGCCCCTGCCAGCCGCATCTCACCAGGCCGCCCGAGTCAGGGGGACAGAGGGCCCTGGAGCAGAAGAAAGCTAAAGGTCAGGCGGCAACATAAGCCGTGATGGGGTCCCAGCGGATCTGTGGATCCTGAGTTGGGGTGCGTTCCTAGCAAGGAACCCCTTCCCAGGGAGCTGTTGTCGCCGGCTGCGTTAGTCCTAGGCCAAACTGGGCCAGGGTCTCCTGGTCCTCCCTGCTTGGTACACTTTCAGGGTGCTTCCTAAGAGCCAAATACCGTTCAATGAGTTCTGGAAAGAGAACTGCCTCCTCCAAGATACGAACCAGTCGTCATCAGCGCTCCAGGGCTATGCTGGGGTCCCTGTGAACTTAGTTTTAGGAACAAATAAACAAGCCAGGGAGGCTTATTCATTCATTCTGTAGGGATGTGATGGGCACCATCTTCCTTCTCCCTAGTACACACTCTGGTTAATTTTCCCTCCTGAGGCTGGACACGACCCTGGGCTTGCCCTACTTGGTATTTGGTCCACCTTCTTTATGGGACATCCAGGAGCTGGGCTCTTCTGAAAAGCAGCATTTGACCTTGTAGGAATGTTCTCTCTTTCTGAGAGTGGCCTGAGACTACAGGAGCATGAGGGTGCTTCCTGTCTTCCTAACTCTGTTCCCTCAAGAGGGGCTCAGGCCTAAGGCGCCATAGCAGTGGAGTTCCTGTCTGGCCAAGCAATAGGAATCCCTCCACTTTCCTTCTCAGTCCCCACTCTTTAGTCCCCACCATCCTGCCCACCTGGCTGGGTGTGCACTCACTCCTCCTGATTTCCTGCCATTCCTTCACCTCCCTTCCAGAGGATGGGCTCTGGAGTCCCTCTTAATGTGGCCAGTCTGGGATTCACACAGTGACTGAACCTGAAGGAGAGAAGTCAAGTGAGGCTTTCTAGTGCAGCATTTCCAGGCCCCTGGCAGTCACTGAGCTAGGCTGGGCCTCCCTGGCCTCTCTAAGATGCCTTCTTAGGAGAAACTGGCTCCCTCTTGGACTGCTTTGCAACTGCCTGGGAGAAGGGGTGTGGGGGGAGGGGTGTGGACTGACACCATCCTAACTGCAGTGCCAGGCACAGCTTGTTTGTGGGCTCTTTACTTGTTCCTTCCAGAGCTACCCAGTGTAGAGGCAGACACACTGGAGCCTGGTGATGCCTGGGCCCTGAAGGGGAACCAGGTCAGGAAGACATGAAAGGATGAGGCAGAGGCAGCCCTGACACCTCCTCTTTTAAAGGAGGACCCTCCTGGACCCAGGAGCGGACTCTGGTTGCGGTGAAGCCCGACGGGGTGCAGCGGCGGCTGGTAGGGGCTGTGATTCAGCGCTTTGAGAGACGGGGCTTCAAGCTGGTCGCGATGAAGATGCTGCAGGTATTAGAGCCCTTGTCCTGTGGTGTCCCTGAGTGGCTGGGGGTTACTTCTTGGCCCCCTTGTCAGGGACGAGTCTCCGGAAGTTAGCAGTTGCAGGGATGGGAAGGTAACTGTTCTGTGGCTGAGGTGCCAGCCTGTATGGGTAGTGTTTGAAAGGTGCCCTGAGACTGGGACACCAGTGGGAGGACTCACTTCAAGGATTCGTCTCTCTCCTTCCCATCAATGCCATCCAGGCACCAGAGAGGATCCTTGCTGAGCACTACCAGGACCTACAGAGGAAGCCCTTCTACCCGGCCCTCATCAGCTACATGAGCTCTGGGCCTATGGTGGCAATGGTACAGGGGGAGAGGTAGAGGGGATGGGGATGTGTACTTCCCCAAGCAAAGGGGAAAGGCCTGGATTGAGCCCTGGGATTCTCTTCCCAACCTTTAGCTCTGTGCTGCAGGTCTGGGAAGGGCACAATGTGGTTCATGCCTCAAGGGCCATGATAGGACACACTGACTCAACTGAGGCTGCCCCCGGGACCATCCGGGGAGACTTCAGCATCCACATCAGCAGGTATAGGGGCCCTGAAACACTTGATTTCCCACTGTGGGGTAAGAAGGGCCAGCACTTGGGGAGGAAGTCTGCTCCTAAAGCAGATCCTGGAGACCTAGGTATCTTGCTGGGCTGAAAGCCAAGTCAGAAGAGACTTGATGGTGGGACGTCACAGCTAATGTTAGCTAGAACAAATTTTTCACAGTCCTTTCCTGTACATAGGAAACAGTAACACATTCTGTGTGTTTGTTGTATCTGTGCTCTGTTGTTTGTTATCTGACTTTCCTCCTAGACGCCCCAAGGGGTTGGCACAGAGTTGGTGGGGAAAGGAGGCTCCCAAAAGGTGGGGTCTGGGCTGGCTCCTGAGGTTGTGGGTTAAGAGGCCAAGCCTGGAGTTTTCCAACTCTGGTTATTCCTTTCTGTTCTGCACAATCACCTGCTTGCTCCCTTAGACAGGGCAGCAGGATAGAGGCAGAATGTCCCTGGGACCCCAGGGTACACACTGAACCCTGAGCCTCACCTTTGCCACCTGTCACCTGGCACAGGAACATCATACATGCCAGTGATTCCGTGGAGGGGGCCCAGAGAGAGATCCAGCTGTGGTTCCAGAGCAGTGAGTTGGTGAACTGGTCAGATGGGGCCCACCACAGCAGCAGCTACCCAGCCTGAGGGCTTTTGCTGTCCTCTGCACCAGTGTCCACCCAGGACCAGATACCTCTGTCAACAAGGACTCAAGTCTACACACCCTTCCTTCTCTCCCAAACTATTTTGTTGTTCACCTGCCCCACACCAGCCCAGATTTGAGCCCCCAACTTTATGTGCCTTTCTGTATCCTAAGCCAGTACAAGACTGGACCAAATCCTTCTGTACCAAATTGCCAGACAACCTTTGGGATATCTTCAAAGGTGACCTCACCTGTGCCCAAGGAGAGACATTAAAATTCACTGCTTAGAATGAGGGTGGTGTGCTGTCATTACTTCTGCTTCTCTGAGACAGCAATGATGCTTTTATGCAAGTCGTGAACAGTAAAAGTGAAGCTTACAGTTTTGCTAGCCCAGGAGGGAATTCCTGACTTTGCTGAAAGTAGGAACCATTGCTGTCCCAGCCCCCACCTGTCTGATCAAGAAGGACAGGTGGCTAGCTTACTCAGGAGGATTGCGATTTGAGCCGACCCCGGGTAAATAATTCTTGAGACCCTATCTCAAAAAAGCCTTTCACAAAATAGGGGTGGTGGGAGTGGCTCAGGGTGAAGGCCTTGAGTTCAAGCCCCAGTACCACCTAAAAAAAAAAAAAAAAAGACAGGTGGGAGCTGAGACCACCCCAGGGCACAATAAGCCTGTGTCTGGGGTGCCAGTCCAGCATGATGGTGGTTTGCAAAGTGCCCTGAGGTCGGGACACAGAGGTTAGGGAGCACTCACTCTCTAGGTGCATCCCCCTCCATGGACCCAGACTCCAGACAGTGTCCTTGTCAAACCTGACTCCACCGTCTTTACCCCTACATAACCTGATGTGGTTGGATGCCAGCAGGAGCTGCCTGACATCCATTTATTTCACGTTGGCACTCAAGCCACATCTCACCTGAAGTGTCTTCCTGGCCCGGGTCATTGTCACAGGCCACAGACACAGCATGACGCTGCTGAGGCCGACTTGGCCATTACTCTACTTTTTTGACATCTTCATGATGGGTGTCCAGTCCTGGATTCTCGGCACCGTCCTCTGCCTTCATCCAAAGGGTTTGGATGGTGTCCTGACCTTTACTGGCCACTTTGGGATCTGGCACCTGGGCTGGCCACGAGAGGGAGCGTTCTCGACTTTCCTTGCTCTAGTCTTTCCCTTCTTCTCCATCTCTGTCCACAGGAAGGGCATGTCCGGGAGACAAGGGTGTGCTCACTTGCTGAACTTCCACATCTAGGGCCGGACTGTCCTGCGAACCTGGTCTCAGTGCGGGTCGCACGGACTCAGACCACCTCATCCACGCGGGATCGGTGAAACGAGTCTCGGACTAGGTCAGCTGTGAGCCTGTGCCCTTCACGACCCCGCCCACTTCCAGTCCCAAGCGGCCGCGCGTAGCGGTGGGCGGAGCGTCCCGGGAGGGGGCGTGGCGACGCTAGAGGCGGCCACCTGGGGGCGGGGCTCGCGTCCCGCCACGTCCGGGGCGGAGCGCAGATCCTGCCAAGAGCTGTGTATCTGGAAAGCGAAGGCTGGTTGGCTAACCTCTTGGAGTCCGGCGGTCCTCGCCTCCCTGGCCGGCACCGAACGTCATGGCCCAGCCGCCGCCCGACGTTGGAGATGACGACTGTCTCCCTGAGTACCGCCACCTCTTCTGCCCCGACCTGCTCCAGTGAGCCCCGAGCGGGACTGGCCGGGAGCGGCGGGGGGCCGGGGCGCGCTGCTGCGCGTACGTACGGATGGCCAGGGGCCGGGCTGCAGCGTGTGAAGCTGCGCCAGTGGACCGGACAGTCCAGATGGGGAGCAGGTGCCCCATCATCCTGCTCTTGGGCGATCCTAGACCTGAAGCTTTCATTGACTTCCAGGCTTGGGATCCTAGGAGAGTGGGGTGAGGGGCTGCCAGAGGGGGAATAGCTTGTCTGTTTTGAAAAACATGACTTACTTTCTGCACATAGAATTTTGAGTTGAAATCGTTTTTCCTGAAGACCCGGAAAGTCTAGGAATAACAGCTTTTAAGTGCAGTGCTTTATTTTGTTACAAAATCACACCGGGTGCAGGTGTCCAGTTCAGGAGATCAAAGTCCTCTATGGGCCACCTACCTGCCCCCCACTTCAGTAAACAGTGACCTTTGTAAATAGTCTTCTTTTTTCTCATCCCAGGGACAAAGTGGCCTTTATCACAGGCGGTGGCTCTGGAATTGGGTTCCGGATCGCTGAGATTTTCATGAGGTGAGCACTGCTCTGGGGTCCTCCATGTGCTTCACTTCCCCTTGTCTGAAACTTGATGGGTTTTGGGGAGTGGTCGAGCGCTGGGGGAGGGGAGGCAGGACTTGGGCTCTTCTAGACATCAGTGAGACTGTGTGGTTCTGGCCTTGACCTCTTGGTGTCACACAGAAGGGAGCTTAGGGTGGGCTGCATCAGACCCCCGTTCTGGGAAGAACACAGTGTTTCTTTGAACACAGTTCTGTGGCTTCAAGCTGACGTCAGCAATTTGTCATCCAGCTGGCAGAGACTTAGAGTTAGGCTGAAGTATGGGAAGAGGGATCCTTCTCCAGTTCTCCTGTCCTCCCACTTTCCACAACAGGAGGTGAATCCCACAGGAAGAGACTTTAGGACTCATCCTTCCAGGTGGACTTGACTTTGAAGCTGGTTCATAAATACTGCTTCTCAGCAGAGCAAGGACAGCTGTACTCCTGGCCCTTCTGATGATTACATGGGATATTCTAGCTCCCCTATTTAGCAGGTGGTAGCCCCAGTGTTGTCACTATAGGGCTGAGTTTATCAGGAGGTGGGACTGGAGAGTACCCTGCCTCTGAAGCTCTCTGTCCTTTCCTCTAAACCCCCACCCTAGGGAAGGGAGCTATGGTATGTGGGGCTGAGCTTGGGGGACTCAGTAGGCCCTGCTCAAGTGTTTGGACCTGGCACTGGTGGACCACCACAACCTCTCTGGCATGTACGTGGTGTATGAGGCACATAAGCCAGAGAGGCCCAGCCCAGAAACCTAGGAGTGGGCAAGTATGGCACCCATCTGAGCTATCTTCAGAGCCTTTCATGCTTGGTGGACTGGCTCAGTGATAGAGCACCTGCCTAGCAAGCATGAGGTCCTGAGTTCAAGCCCCAATACTAACCCCTCCCCCTAAAAAAAGTGCCGTTCATACTCATCCCTGCTCACTTTTTTTTTTTCTGGTACTGGTTGTAGAACTCAGGGCCTCATGCTTGCTAGGCAGGCACTCTATAGCTTGAGCTACTCTACCAGCCCAATGCTTCAACTCATTTTTTTAAACTTTAGAAATGATAGACAGAATGAAATAATGGACAGAATGGACAGATATTCGTTTCATAAATTCTGTTTTCCAAAATCAACCAGGAGCTTTTTTTTTTCTTTTTAAAAGAAACCACACAATAAATTTTAAAAGGCACTGAGATTCTTCTGCTTCTAGACCATTGCTAACCTAGGAGGAGGAGGGGGAAGGAAGAAAGAAAGGCTTGCTCTATCAGGAATCACAAGTTAGAACTGGGTACTCTCAAACCAGTGCTTTAGCTTTTCACTCCCTTGGGGGAGCTCTGCATGGAGCACCTGGGAGGAGCCCACCTGGGTGCATCCCTCAAATCTGTCCTCTTAGGTCTACCCTCTGGTTTTGCAGGCATGGCTGCCACACCATCATCGCTAGCAGGAACCTGTCAAGAGTGTCAATGGTGAGAGGGCCTCCCCAGTGGGCCATCCACAGGTGGTTGTGGAGGCTCTGAACCTGGGTTGGGAGAGTACTAAGGTCCAGGGGATGGTGACACCAAAGTTTGTTCCCTCTCATATGTGGAACCTCAGTGGAAATGGCCTTTAGAGGCACCCTTGACTTCTTAAAAGTCTGATTATTGGGTCCTATGAAGGCCCTCATGTTGGGAGGTAATGTGGCCCCGGGAGAGCTCACCAGTGTTATGAAGGTCATCATCCCATGAACCTGAGTCCTTGACCTGCTATGGCAGGTATCAGACAGAGATGGGAAGACAGCTGGGGCTGTCAGTCAGGGACCATGGCCTAGGAGGTGATGCAGAGGGAGGGCTCTGGAACAGATGGAAAGTGGTAGAGGGTGTGTGTGGGGGGTCTTACCGATGTCCACCAGAGGCTATGGCCCAGGGAGTGGCCATTTGCAGGCTGAGTTTCCTCAGAGTGGTGTATAGCAGCAAACCGGAGGTCCCAAGAGAGCCTGGATACATCATTCACATTAAGTACTTTTGTGGCAGTACTGGGGATTGAACTCAGGGCCTAGCAACTGTTCTATCACTTGAGTCATGCCCCTAGTCCCTGCATCAAGTTCTGAAGGCTGCTCTTCCAGATTGAGTTGCTGGGCTGCTGTCTATCTCTCTTTCTGTCTGTGTCTAGGCTGCTGAGAAACTGGCTAATGCTACCAGCCAGCGGTGCCTCCCTTTGTCCATGGATGTCCGATCTCCCACAGCTGTCATGGCTGCTGTGGACCAAGCATTGGAGGAATTTGGCAAAATTGACATCCTCATTAACTGTGAGTCATTGTTAATCAAGACCAGAGGTTGCTGGTGCTATTTGGAGGCACCAGAATTCTGGTCCTGGGGCAGGGATGTGCCAGAGAGCCTAGGTGACTACTCCAGGCTTGGCTACAACCCTTCCATTTACCTGAAGCAACCCAGCATCTAAGCCTCTGTCCAGGACCAGCTCTGCTCTTTCCAGGTGTGTGTTTTGGGTGGGGGGGTGTCAGTGCAGTCTTAGCTCAAGTAGATGCCCTCTGAACATGACTGATTCTTAATTCAGGGACGCCCTCATATCCTGAAATTCCCACTTAAAAAAAAGTAGCCAGGCATGGTGGTGCATGCCTGTAATCCCAGTATTCAGGAGGCATAGGCAGGAAGATCATAAGCTGAAAGCCAGCCTGGGAGATCCTGTCTCAAAAGCAAAACAAAACAAAAAGAAATAAGACTAGGGAAGTAGCTCAGTGGTAGAATGCTTGCCTATCATGCAAGAGGCCCTAGCACTGGGGGGAAAAAAAAAGTAATGGACTTTGTTGTTAGTACAGTTTTAGATTTACAGAATAACTAAGTAGCTAATACATGGAATTTCAAATGCTAAACCCACACAGTTTCCCCTATTATTTTTTTTTTTTTAACTTTTGGTGGGACTGCAGTTTGAACTCAGGGTTTTGCACTTGCAAAGAAGGCATTCTATGGCTTGAGCTACACCTCCAGTCACTGGTTATTTTGGAGATGTGGTCTCATGAACTGTTTGCCTGGGCTTGCCTCAAATCTCAGTCCTCCCAATCTCAGTCTCTCAAGTAGCCAGGACTACAGGTGTGAGCCACCACCGGTGCCCAGCTGCCCCTGTTATTAACATCTTGCATTTGTTAACCAGCCAATATTGATGTGTTGTTATTATTACCTATACTCCATAGATACATTAAGATTTACTCTTTGCTGGGTGTGTGGTGGGGGGGGGAATAAAGGAGAATGGTGGTGGGAGTGAATTCAAGTATGATATATTGTAAGAACTTTTGTAAATGCCACAGTGTGCCCCTACCCAGCTCAAGAACAACAACAACAAAATCTTTACTTTTAGGACAAAAAAAAAAAAACCCCAAAGTACAGGGCTGGGTGTGGTCTTCCACACCTGTAATCCCAGCACTTAAAGGCAGAGGCAAGAGGGTTAAAAGTTCAAGGCCAGCCTGGGATACATAATAAATGGAAGGCCAGCCTGAGGACTGGTGGAGTGGCTCAAGTGGTTGAATGTCTAGCACTTGCTACTGCCTAGCAAGCATTAGACCCTGAATTCAAACTCCAGGGCCACAAAAAAAAAAAAAAAAAAAAAAAAAAAAAAAACAAGCCATTACTGGTGGCTTATGCCTATAGTCCTAGCTACTGAGGAGGCAGAAATCAGGAAGATCATGGTTCATGGTTCAAAGGCAGCCAGGGCAAATAGTTTAGGAGGCCCTATCTAAAAAAACTCAATACAAAAACAGAGCTGGAGGTTAAGCACCTGCCAAGCAAGTGTGAAGCCCTGAGGTCAAGCCCCAAAATAAATAAATACATGAAAACAAAAAACAAAAAGAGAGAAATTAATCTCTCACAGTTCTGGAAGCCATAAAACCCAAAGTCAAGGTGTCATCAGGGCTCTCTCTCTGTCATTTTGGTGCTGGGGATTAAACCCAAGGCCTTGCTTGCTAGGCAAGCTCTCTACCAATGAACTGCATCCCCAGCTCTCCTTGCTGCTGCTTTTTTTTTTTTTTTTTTTTTTTTTTGGTGGTACTGGGGCTTAAACTCAGGGCCTCATGCTTGCTAGGCAGGCAGTCTACTACTTGAGCCACTCCACCAGTCCTGTTTTGTGTTGGACATTTTCGAGATAGGATCTCTTTAACTATGTGCCCAGGGCTGGCTTCAAACAACGATCCTCCTGATCTCTGCCTTCTGAGTAGCTAGGACTACAGGCGTGATCCACTAGCAACTAGCTTCTTTTTATAAGGGCACCAGTTGTGGTATTTAGGGCCCACCCTCATTCCGTATGACTTCATTTTAATAACTTCTGCCAAGGTCCTGTTTCCAAATAAGGTCACATTCACAGGTACCAAAGGTTAGAACTTCAACTTCTTCTTGGAGGGTGACATAACATCCTGTCTTAATTCTGTCACTCAGGAAGTTATCCAAGTACAAGACCTTCTACTCTGTCCATCTTGGCCCACCCTGAGTATCTTACTGCTCACAGAGCATCAGGCTCCCTTGTGCACCCTTCTTCTATCAGGGCCTTGGCTAGCCTGGTGTCCTAGCTTCCCAGGGCTTTAGCACTACTTTCTATTTCTTCTGCTTTGCAGGTGCAGCTGGAAACTTCTTGTGCCCTGCCAGTGCATTGTCCTTCAATGCCTTCAAGACTGTGGTTGACATCGACACCATTGGCACCTTCAATGTGTCTCGTGTGGTTTATGAGAAGTTCTTCCGGGTGGGTGTCCTCCCAGCGGGTGCCTCCCCTCTTCTGGATGCCCACTTACCACCCCATCCCCTGTGTGTTACAGGACCATGGAGGGGTGATTGTGAATATCACAGCGACCCTGAGTTTCCGGGGGCAGGTGCTGCAGGTGCATGCAGGCACTGCCAAGGCAGCTGTGGGTATGGATGCCTCCTCTGGTCTGCCCTGTCTTGACCATCCCTGGAAGCTGTCAGTCTCCATGTGAATCTGAGCCCAGCTGTTGAGCAGCAGAGGGGCCAAGTTTTGACCCTGAGCTCCACTAGCCCCTGGATTACCCCAGGAGTCAGAGTGGGTTCATGGTCTCCCTTCCTACCTGCCTTTCTTCCATGCAGATGCTATGACACGACACTTGGCTGTGGAGTGGGGTCCCCAGAATATCCGTGTTAACAGCCTAGTACCTGGCCCCATTAGTGGCACAGAGGGATTCCGGCGACTGGGTAAGGTTCTCAGAGAGCCCAGGGCCCCCATCAAAGCTTCCAGACCATGGTAGGGGTAGAAAAAGCCTTGTCTTATTCCTGTCATTCTGGAACTTTTTCAAGTGTTGGCCTCCTACCCTGTCCAGCTTGGCTCACCCTGAGGGTCCCCACAGTTTAACTGCTCGTAGGGCATCCAGTCCCCTTGTGCTGGTTCTTCATTACTCCATATCTGACCTGTTCCTGCTCTGCTAGGCCTCAATGATATTAACAGTCCCCCCACACACCATTTCCAGATGTGATTCAGGGATGGAGTTGTCTGGGGAGGGTGGAGGGCCTTTAGTCATGGGGCTCACTGAGGACTGAGCCTTTTGCTGTCCTCCAGGGGGCCCCCAGGCCAGCTTGAGCACAAAGGCCCTCCTAAGTCCTCTGCAGAGGCTAGGAAACAAGACGGAGATTGCCCACGGTGTGCTCTACCTGGCCAGCCCTCTGGCTTCCTACGTGACGGGGACTATGCTTGTGGTTGATGGTGGGAGCTGGATGACATTTCCAAATGACATCAAACGGCTGGTGGATTTCAAATCCCACTCTGCTAAACTCTAGGTGAGGTGCTACTCCTGCTTCTCACGGTTACATCCTCCAATGCCCCTGCCTGCCTGCATCCTGCTGGGTTCAGCTATGGAATTCAGGGCAGGTCTCTGCATGGCCCAGCATATGTGTCCCAGCATGGCTATACATGGGGTGCTGCCCAATGGGCAGACAGCCAGCAAGTCCCCCAAGCTGTGCAGGAGGTGGGCATGGTACCAGTGGATCTCCTTGGCCTCTGTCCCTGTTGGAGGCAAGTGCTGGAGGGATACAATTTTTTTTTTTTTTTTATGCCCAGGCTTGCTTCAAACTTGTGATCCTCCTGCTTCAACCTTCTGAGTACTATAATTACAAGGGTGCACTACCATACCTGTTTTGGGATACAGCTTCTGATATAAAAAATTTTATCCAGATGCATCCCTCTACCCCTGCCCCCAAGCAGCTCACAGCAAGCCCAAGAGCACCGTATCTAAATTCAATCCCACCAGTCCAGTCCTTCCTCTGGGGATGTTGCTTTTTCCACACTCTGCCTCCCAACAGCCTAAGCAACTGTAAGCAGGAGGTGAGCCCAGCTTGCAGCCTGCCCATGCAGTTATCTGAGCACCGTTCCTAAGATTTTGCCAGAAAATGGATTTTCTTAAAAAATAATCTTTTTTTACTATAAAAACGTCTATGCATTGGACTTTGTGAAAGCATTTGCAAAGAAAAGGAAAATGATTAAAAGAATCACTGAGATCCTGTCTTTTAGAAGTAGTGGTTGTGCTTCCTTCCTGTCTTTTTTTCTGTCTCTTCACCATGGTTGCTGCCTGTGCCCTTTTTCCTGCTGCTGATGTGGCCCAGACCCTTTGCCTTCAGAAGGGGGCAAGCAGCACAGCTTCGTGATTCCCAGCCTGGAAGCTCGTGCTCGCAGACAGGTGTGGCCCTGTGGCTGCTCTGGTGGTAGAAAGCATTTTTCCCTCACAGAGGCCCTTTAGCCCTGTGTCCGTCAGTCTTCTCTGAACCCCCAGCTCATTGCTACTACAAATCCCAAATGTATTCAGGTTCTGCTTCCTAATAAGGAGGAGGTGAGATTCGGTGTCTTCATGTAGTTTCGCTCCTGCCCCATTTGGGAAACACATTACTGAGCTTACAGCTATTAAGCTGGCATTAGGGGACTTGTTTTCAACATGTGACCCAACATATAAGGTAGGAGTAGCCACAGTTACCCTGCACTGATCTGCCAGCAGCAGTTTCTGTGAGTGCTATACTGCCATCAGCATTGCAGCCAAGGCTCTTTTCCTATCTAGGACCATTAGAGCCATGCCCACAGCACACACCTGGTATCAAACCTTGTGCAGCCTCCCTTCACAATCCAGATAAGGCCTCTGGGCGTCTGGACAAGAGGGGGACTTTACTTGGACATCAGGGGCCGTACTGGGACTTGAATCAGCATCATCCCAGGGCTTGGACATGTGAGAGGCACATGGATCTCTTCTTGGCAGTCAGTGTACATTCTCAACAACAGCCCTAGTGTGCAGGCCGATGAGAGCCCATAGCCCCTACGGTCCCTTGCACCCCCTGCCTGCCCGAATACCTGAGCCTCACAGTGGCTTCATCAGACACATTTTCTCCCAGCTTCCTCTATGGCCAGGACAGAAACACTCTTAATTCCCTGGGGCAGCAGGTAAAGAGGGATTGTTGGTGTCTGTACTGTCCCTCTCCAGGGGTGCAGCCCTGGGCAAGGCCCCTCTGAGCCGTGTATCCCTGGAGCCAACAAGCCAAGTGTGGTTTTAGGGAAATGCTCTGCTTATATTCATCTCTCAAATGTGAGTCAGCAGCCCTGACTTCAGTCCTCCATGAAAGCCACTTTCTCAGTTTGGAGTCATGCTAGGTATCCCAGAGGAGCCACCCCAGTAAGAAGTGCCTTCAGTTACCTGCCAGGGTGACAAGACCCCTGCAGGGTAGACAGTTGGGTCCCCAGGGAGCTGTGGTCCCCAAAGAAATTCCATTTGCTCTTGGCCAGTTCCCTCCACCATTATAGTGTGCTTGAAGGATCCTTGGGTCCCAGCACCTCCCTGGAAGAAGGCCACCCCTTATCAGCCTTTGGCCTTTGCAAGTGTAGGGGACTGGTGGGCAGGCTCAGACCCAGCCCAGCTGGGAGGACATCTGGTAGAGGGAACAGACATCTATGCTTGGCTCCACCAACTGTTTATAGGTGTTGGAGGTCAAACATATAGTAATGTGAAGTCCACCAGCAAGGCAGGCAATGGTGCCTTGTGATGCTGTTGGGGAAAACCCCAAACATTAAGAATAGTTGCTAGAATCTGGGCTCATGCCTGTAATCCTAACTACTCAGGAGGCAGAAGTCAGAGGATTGCTATTAGAAGCTAGCCTGGGCAAATAGTTTATGAGATCCTATCTTGAAAAAAATGAAGGTGCAGGCCCTGAGTTCAAACCCCAGAACCAGGGTAAAAAAAAAATCATAGTTGCTGGAGAGGTGTGGAGAGCAAGAGGCAGGGCAGTCATGGACCCTTGGGAACACCAGAGAGCTCTCTGGCTGAAGCTGGGGCCAGCTGTCATTCCCCTGGGGACTGATTTCAGGGGAGTGGTCTGGGAGGGATAGCGAAAGTCTGCTGGCCATGCCTCTGTCTGCTGCCTTTGAAGGGTGGGATACACAGTTGAGATGGGAACACTGTCCAGCAACAGGTCTAGCTAAATAAAGGCCATGTACTGGGCCCTTTTGTGAGCTTCCCTCCAGGAGGTACAGACTGGAAAACAGGCACCCCAGGGCTGGACCTTTCTTTACAGACTTAGTAAGATCAGTGTAGCTTTGCCTGTATGTGGTGGCCAGTTTGTCTTAGAGAAATTGGTCTCACTTTGTTTGGCTTAGACAGTTAGTCTGCAGGCCTGGGATGGCTAGGGCCTTGGTTAGTTATAGTCATGCCCAGTTGGTGTCACTTGCCCATTGGTGAGGCTGGAAAGGCAGGATACAGAGAATAAGAAGGGCCAGGTTAGAACCACCAGGAAGGCAGCACATCAGCCCCAGTAGAGGGAATCTGGCTCTTAGAGCTAACTGTCACCCTGTGGCAGGATTTATACCACAGTGATTGGCAAAAAACTAGGTTATTCCCATCACATCAACAATTCCCTTCTTTAAAATACCCTTCAAAAACACCATGGTGCAGTCTTTTTTTCTTTTTCTTTTTTTTTTTTTTTTGGCAGTACTGAGGTTTGAACTCAGGGCCTATACCTTCAGCCACTCCTCCAGCCTTTTTTTGTGATGGGTTTTTTCAAGATAGGGTCTCACAAACTATTTTGCCTGGCATTGAACCAAGATCCTCCTGATCAAAACAAAAATACTATAAACTGGGTGGCTTATGCCTGTGATCCTAGCTACTCAGGAGGCAGAGATCAGGAGGTACTGGATCAAGGTCCAGTACCACAAAAAAAAAAGGGTTTTTTTTTATTGTTTTGTGTGTGTGTGTGTGGTGTTAGGAATTGAACCCAGGGCCTGGCACATGCTGGGCAAGCTTCCTGTCATAGAGCTACACCTCTAGCACCAAAGGATGAAGTTAAATACCTTCATCTCCATAGAAGGGGGAAGCTTAGCATTCCCAGGGCCTCTAAACCAGCTTCCACAATTACAGTTTCAGAAAACTCTACGACCGTGGTTCACATAATAAAAAAATTATCCTTCCTGGTCAGGGATGAAGCTCAGAGGTAGAGTGTTGCCTAGCATGTGCAATGTCCTGGGATTGATCCCTAGTACCACAAAATAAATAATTATCTTCCTTTGAGACAGTGAGGGAATATGGCTTTTTCTTTTTTCTTTCTTTTTTTTTTTTTTTTTCAGTACTGGGGCTTGAACTCAGGCCTTCACCTTGAGCCACTCCACCAGCCCTATTTTTGCGATGGGTTTTTTTGAGATAGGGGCTCGGGAACTATTTGCCTAGGCTGGCTTCGAACTGTGATCTTCCTAATCTCTGCCTCCTAAACAGCCAGGATTACAGGTTTGGGCCACAGGCATCTGGGTTGTTTTTTGTTTTTTCTTTTTTTAGACAGGGTCTTGCTGTGTAGCCCAGACTGGCCTCAAACACGTGAGCCTCTTGCTTTGGTCTCCCAAGTTCTGAGATTACAGGTGTTTTCCAACATGCCTGGTGCTAAATGCACTTTTTCTTTTTCTTTTTTTGGCAGTACTGGGGTTTGACTCATGCTTCACAGGCAAATGCTCTACCACTTGAGCCATACCCCCAGCCCTTTTTGCTTTAGTTATTTTTCAGATAGTCTTGATCTTTTTCCCAGACCGGGCCTCTGACCAGATCACAATCCTCCTACTTCAGCATACCACATAGCTGAGATTACAGGTATGAACCACCATGTTTGGCTTGTTATTTGAGGTGAGGTCTTGCTAACTTTTTACCTGGGTTGACCTGGAACAGCGATTCTTCCATCTCTACCTCCTGTGCAGCCGAGGACACAGGCATGCACCACTGTGCCCAGCATAGATGCACATTGAAACAGCATTGTGTGCTGTATCTTGAATTAACTGGCAGACAAATCCCAATTTATTTACCCCCTACCCTGAGCCATGAAGGTGATTTCTGTGACATCACCATGATCTACAGGCTGCAATGAACATCTGAGTGTGTTAATCTTTATCTATACAGAAAGCAAAGAAAATCTTAAAATGTCCTAAAATAAACACTGCTAATTTGAGGGAGTTCCTCTCTGCTGACTTCTGTTGCCATGGTAACCTGGCACAGCCTGACTGTGGCTTGCATATGCTACCAGCCCTGCACTGGTGCCCACTTCCTACACCTTGGACCCTCGCTGGGTTTTCCCAGGTGTTAGGGAACCTTCTCTATCTTTCTCTACCTCTTTCCTTCCCAGATTGGGGTACTGAGATATCATTCAAGGCTGGACCACCCCACGATGTCATAGGGGAAAGGTTGAGGGTTATCTTCTTACTCAGACATTTGTCCATCCACCAAGTGGGCACTGATCCAGAAGAGTGTGAACTGACCCTCTTGGGGAGGTGCTGATGTCCATGTCAGCCACGACTTCTCATCTTCTCTCTGCCTATGTCCACAAGGGCTAGCTGACTGAGCGGAGGCAGGGAGAGTGAGAAGATGAACCGTGGAGGAGTACATCAGCCAAGACATTCTGATGTTCTTCTGCCCTCCACATCATTTTCTCCTTATCCTAAGGGACAGACCAAGCCTGCCTTACACCAGTCAAGACCCAGCCCTGGGGCCTATGTCCAGGCAGTGAGTGGCAAGTGTCTGCCTCTGCTCAGCACACTGCAGGTGGGCAGCAGCATCTCCTGAAGCAGCAGGTAAGTGCACTCTGGGCCACGGCTTCCTAGTATAGGCAGCTTTAGCTCTGGGCTGGACATGATCCCAGGCCATTTCAAACCCCTAGCTCTTGGTTTAGTTCAGCCCCTGGGCCATTTCCGTCGTACACCAGGCAGTTCTCTTGGGTGCAGGTAGCAGACCTGCTCTGGATCTTCAGATATAGAGGGGGAATGTTTTGGGGAGGCTCCCAGGGGGTTACACCAGTGCTGGAGAGGAAAGCCAGACACTGAGTGGTAGTCCTAGGAAGGAAGGGCCTGAACCTGCCCTGGGTGGCATCCCAGCCCCTGGGCATGCTGTGCCCTGGCCCTGAAGAGAGACACTTCTTTCTGCCAGCTGGTGCCCCACCTCCTGAGGAAAGAGGCAGATTTGCTCTGTTTGGGTCAGGAGTCTGGCTCTTGTTCAGTGAACTCATCTTGTCACAGGCACAGCTCCCTCCACGGCTGTGGCTTGGAGAGGGCCACTCCTAGAAAACTGTATTCACAGACCATTCTCTGCAGGTCCTGACTCACACCAAAGTCTGGATGTGTAGCCAGACATGCATAAGTACCCTCTCCGGAGACTGGATGGGTCTCAGGTGCCCCTTTGTGGTGCCAAGGGGCCTGGGAAACCTAAACGATAATTGAATAATGATAGACAGCACCGAAAGAAGGAATGGGAAATATTAGTTAGAAATGAAAGAATTAAACCTGGCACCGGTGCCTCATGCCTATAATCCTAGCTACTCAGGAGGCAGAGATCAGGAGGATCGCTATTGGAAGCCGGGCCCAGGGAAACAGTGAGAGAGACCCTATCTTGAAAATCCCATCACAAAAAAAAGCACTGGTGCAGTGGCTCAAGGTGTAGGCCCTGAGTTCAAACCCTAATACCACACCCCAGACAAAAGGACTAAAAGAATGAAAGCGGAAGCCTTTCACATGTAGTCATAAGCAATGTGGAGAACAAGGACGGTGATATGGACTAGACCTTCTCACCGCTGGGTGGAAACTGAGACGGGTGCTATGAAGAGGAAGCGCTGCCCAGCACGGCCTCTCCCACAGCCGCCTGTGCCTTCCCCAGGCTGTGTGGGGCAGGAGGGAGGTGTGGTGGGTGGGGAATGTGGGGGCTGGACAGGCTCCCTCATCCCAGGGAGACTGAAAACAGGTGCCAGCAACTTGCAGCATGAGATGTTAAAATAAGAAAATCATCAAAACCTCAGGCTGAGTCAGGAGGAATTAAGCCTTACAAACTCACGCTCTATTTTTACTCTGAGAAATGTTCTTTACCAATCTGAAGGTGAGAAAAAAATCCCTTCCCACTGAATAAAGTATCAGTAAACAGAGAGGCTCTGTGCCCTTGACTGGCTGGAAGACCCTGGAGATGTGTGATCTGAACTTAAAATTGACTTCTCCTTCAGCTAGCTCACCGAATACAAAATGTCAATCTAGTTTTCACAATTGTAAGTTAAAAGTATGTGGCAGGCAGTGTTTGTTTACAGACTTGAGATAGGGTCGACATAATAAACTGCACATAGGTGGCATGTACACTTTGATGAGTTCTGACATGTGTCAAGGTCCTGAAGCCTTCACACAGTCAAGCTGATGGATATACTTGTCACCTGTCAAGTTTCCAGGGAATTCCACCGCCCTCCTCCCAGCATCGCCAAGTGATCTCAGATCTGCTGTTACTGAGTTTGCTTTTATTTTTTTGAGACAGTCTTACTTCATAGCCCAGGATGACTTTGAATGGGAGGGCCTGATGAAGCTGGGATTATAGGCATGAGCCACTACTCCCACTCAAAATATATATTATAATTTATCTTTTGCTGTGCTGGAGATTGAACTAACCACTTTCACGAAAGGCAAGCACTTTACCACTGAGCTATGTTCTTCGCTGTCTGCATTTTCTAGCATATCTAGAATGCAGTATGTATATTTTTTTCATTCGGCTTTTTTTTTTTTTTGGTGAGACTAGGGTTTGAACTCAGGGCTTCAAGCTGACAAAGCAGACACTCTGCCACTTAAGCCATGGCTCCAGTCTATTTTGATCTGGTTGTTTTAGAGATGGGGTCTTGAGAACTATTTGCTCCAGCTGACCTCAAACAGCAATCCTCCCGATCTCAGCCTCTCAAGTAGCCGGGCCCATTTGGCTGTTTTCATTATTATTTTATTTTTTTAGTGGTACTAGAGTTTGAGCTCAGGGCCCTGTGGTCTAGGCAGGTGTTCTACCACTTAAGCCACTCCACCAGCTCTTTTTTGTGTTGGGTATTTTCAAGATAGGGTCACGCAAACTGTTTTCCCAGGTTGGCTTCGAACCTCAATTCTCTTGGTCTCTGCCTCCTGAGTAGTTAGGATTACAGGTATGAGCCACTGGTGCCTGGCCAGCCTCAGATCTTGATCCTCCTACTTAACAGGTTCCTGCATAGCCGGGATTATAGTATGTGTCCTCTTGCCCAGCTTATTGATTGAGATGGGGTCTTGCTAACTTTTTGCCCAATCTCCACCTTGAAAGTAGGTGGGATTATAGGTGTAAACCACTGTGCTAAATCCTTATTTTGAGATTTATCCATGATGCTGAATGTGTCCTTAGCTCTTTCCTTTTCATTGCTGAGTTGTATTCCATGGTATGGATGGGCAAGGTTATTCATTAGCCTATTGATGAGTATTTGGGTTGTTCCTAGTTTGGGGCTATCACAAGTAAAGCTGCTACAAACATGCATGTAGCACTCTGCATTGCTTCTTTCTTCCTTCCTTCCTTCCTTCCGTCCCCCTCCCCTCCCCTCCTCCCTCCCCCCCTCCTCCCTCCCCCCTCCCTCCCATACTGAGGGGTTGAACTCAGGT